GATTTTTATATTGGATGATTTGGGTTTCTTATTATTTTTCAATTTATTGATAACTGTCCAGGAGGTTTCATTTTTATTTTCAGATGATTGAATTATTTGGTTATAATAATTTCTTTTACAAGTTTCCACAAGATTATGGTGTTTTCGCTTTTGTATTTGATATTGACCTTTCAAAATAGAGTAATTCTTCCGAAGAATATACAGATCTATCAACTGTACACTCGACCTTTTGATTTCATCGGTGATCCACGATTTTGGGGTATTGTCAATTTTTGTACTAGAACTTGATGATATTCTTGTATCCTGATAAACAATACCATGAAGGCCGTTTTGTGCAAATATATCAAGTATTTTCTCTCGTTCATGTGATAAGATGTTGAAGTCTATATTAAATTCACCTAAGATCCATAAAAGTGAGTTTATGCTAAATATTTGGTCTAACATTCCCTGAAGTTTCTGGCAGAATAAATGGAAGTTTCCTGTTGGTGATCTATAAATTGTAACTATTTTATGAGTCTCAAATACACATCCACAACATTCAAAAACTCTTTCAATACACAGGTTATTAATATTTAAAGGAGTTGTCACAAGTTCTTGTTATTGTTCTTGTTACACCTGCCTACTCCCTATTCTGGTCCCCTACTTTGCAATGAGAGCGAAGTAATAAATTTTGAAACTTTTGAAACAAGTTACTATCATTAAAAACCAGTGTTACTCAAATCTCTCCCACCATTTAGCCTACCGCTTGAAAGACAGAAATTTTCCGGTTATCGCCAGAAATATCTGGCGATAACCGGAAAAAATCTACGCTTAACAGTAGGATTTCTGACTGGCCACTGTCAACTAAGGAAACACCTCCATAATATGGGGCTAGAGGTCACACCTCTATGCAGGATGTGTGACAAGGAAGATGAAACTGTCAGGCATGTCTTATGCGAGTGTCCGGAGTTATTGTCAATAAGAGAGTGTGTGTTCGACGAGTCTTGGCCTACACCTGCCGATATAATGGAGATGTCTCCCAGAGACCTCTCCACTTCCTGGAAAGGACAGGATGGATGATGACCTAGGATAACAACTCCTTGGGAGGATATACAATGGATCACATGTGGCCTAAGTGCTGTGGGCCTAGCCTCACCCTCCCTGCTCCCCAGATCCAGATCCAGATGGCTACCGGTGGCAGCCAGCGTTATTTTCTTTGGGGCATGATTTACAACAATATTATGTTATCTACATTCTTACTAAAATGTGTACTATCCATTGTTAACAATACCACAAAACCTGGTGTGTGACAGATTATTTTCATATTTCCATACAACAGTGTTTGATTTCGTAAGAAACCATAGAGGAAGTGTCAAATGAGAAAGTTTTATTGCTCTCCTGTAAAATAGGCCAAATGGCAGTTACGTGGTTTTACAATTAGGCCGACGGATAGCTTTAAATTAAGTAGAAAGCCAAAAACTTTCCCAAAAGTTAACCTCTCCTAAAAATATAACCCTCTCAGTTTAAATAAGCTCTTCAAGTTATTTGACAAGCTGTAATTTGACATATTTCATATTCATCCAGTTTTTCCTTTTATTATCAATTACTTCATGACATCAAATGATATCGTTTCTAATTTGTGTTTCATTTTTTTCTAGGAAGCCGAATGTCAGAAATCAGCTATGGACATAAAATATTCCACAGACACAAAAATTGAAGATAATTCCAGGATGTTCAAATTGCAAAAAGCAAACTTTGATCAGGAAATCAACACTGCCGTAAGTACCTGTTTTAACAAATACCAAAACGAAAAATAAATTAAAGAAATCTATTTTGGCTTTTCACTTCGCCTCTTCAATATAGGGAGCAAAAAAGTTTGGTACAACTGTCATTGAAAGTGACATTTTTAATGGTTGCCATGTTGCCAAGAGTATTAAAAGATGATGTTTACAAAGTAGCGTGTGGAAAATATTTTTAACACTAGTGTTAAAAGTATTTTTGTAACAATTTTTTTCGACCAAATAGCAATAAATATTACTGGAGTTTTTTTTCTCCCAACACCAAAAAACTCTAGTATTATTCATTACTACACCAAAGGTTCCAGACAGTGCATCACAAAAAACTTTCTTTACCAAAAATTAATTACTCCTAAAAATATAACCCCTTCAATTCAAGTAAATAGCAATAAAAAAACATAATTATTCAATTTTCAAGGGAGTTTTATTATGAACAATAGATATAGATACAATTAAATTCTGTTACAAATGTAGGTATTATATACATTAATTTCATTATTATTATTATTTATGAACATTAATATGAAAAGTACAATTAGAACAACTGCTGATATCAATACCTTGCGATGTTGAAGAGCCTTGTAATCTGAACTATCTGAGTTGACAATTTCATGGGCATTAACATTCAATTCTTGAAGTGAAGAGGACGATGATGTAACGCTGAAGCTAGCTGTTGGGATTATTCCTTTAGCAATAGCCTTTTTATAAAAAATAGATTGATCGATGTAACCCACAGCTACTGTTGTAGACTTCCATCCTCCGTGCTTCTTAATATCCATTATATTTGCTCCTGATTCTGCTAGCAAAGAAGCAGAAGACCTTCTGAAACAGTGACTTGTATATTCCTTTGGTTCTAGGAGGTTGAGAAACTCAGCAATGGTAGAGGGAATTTTCCCAAACGTGTTTATTCCAACTGGGTTGGCACTGCATTTATAATTTGAATATTTCAGAAAAAAAAACGTTGATGATTGATAACAGAAGGGTGTAAGGCAATGTATTTATTAAAATAGTCAATGTTTTTTCCAACAATGCAAAAAGAACGACTTATTTTCGTTTTTGTATTTGAAATTTGAACAATCAATGATTTATCCATTATTTTAATGTCTTCTATCAATAAATGACAAAGCTCTTCACGCTGGTAAGCTCAATATATTATGAAAATAGTATCAACTTTCATCATCAAATATTTTTCATCTGGCGCCTCATTTATAAACCTCTGGACTTGTTCAACGTAAGAGTTTTTGATTTTTTGGACCTATAACTTTCATTTTTTCGCTTTAAGAATGCTATTACCTTGAAATATTTACTTGTATTGGTATGTATTTACTTGTATTGTATGATCGATAGGTAGCCAAACGGTTCGGCGTGTGTGCTTTGTTCACTTATTCGAATTGACTGCTGTGTTGGTCGGTGGTTCAAGCCCTAGTCTGAACGATCGATCTTCACTTGCTACCGTCCAACCCGTGTTAGGAATCACACGTTAAAAGGTAAGACCCCGTTAATCCTTAACTCGCACAAGTTTCGACTTCTGAGGGTTGTCGTTCTTAGGGGTGCGACAGCTGGTTAACGGAAAAACAGATTTTAAACAGATTTATACCATTTTTAACGGGCGCACTAGACTCCACAAAGATGACGAGTTCCATATTTTTTATTTCTCTTCTTGATAGGCTAAGAAGATGGTTTCGCTGAAATTTCCTTCGACGTTTTCAAGTCTACACCAGCTAAGAAAATTAGAATATGCGATGTCGTACTTTTGAGCCGATTTTTTTGGTAACAATTCAATTGAAGTTCTTTTTGCAGCCTCTTCAATATCGTCAGGAACACACAATTCCTCACTATTGTTCTTCATTATGCAAGACATTAAACACCAGCAAGAACTTCAAATGTGACTTTAAATAAAACGTTTGAGCTGTAAACAATCCTGTTCTTTGGTGATTCAGCGTCACCTGACACGGCCACTTCACAGCAAATGCGATAACATGAAAATAGTTAACTGTGTGTTTTATAGAAACAGGACAGTTGTACAAAAAACTTTGTATGATATTTGTGTTGAAAGTAAGTTTTATTTTGTTCGTGAAATTGTTCAACTCGCTACGCTCGTTTCGCAAACTTTTTCACTCACAAAATAAAACCTTACTTTTAACGCTCATATCATAAATAGCTATTATTGTATCTAGTTTTTTCCATTCTGCTGAAATACCCTACCCTGAAAACTATAAAAATTCTTCAGAACAATTATATAAAAGAAAAAATTAAACTTTCATATTCTTTTCAATACATTTTTCTATCTCATGTTAACAGAAAGCTCAGGCCCAACTGGCCTACGAACTACAAGCTGCGAAGATCCGACAAAAAATCCGAAACGAGGAAATTCAAATCGAAGTTGTGGAAAGAAAGAAGCAGATCGAGATAGAGTCCCAAGAAGTTATGAGAAAAGAAAGCGAACTGAACGCCACAGTGCGGTTGCCAGCGGAAGCTGAAAGTTACAGGGTTGAAGTTATTGCCGAAGGAAAGAGGTAATGCCTATTTGTCAGTGGGGATGAAACTTGCAACCGGGATATCTTTTGATTATGTGTTGTTTTAATGTAGGATTGTTAGAGCTGTCACTCTTTCTTAATGGATTTTTTCATTGTGTTGAAGATTTCCTGATTGGTTCCCAGTCAACTTTATGTCCAAAGAATATTTTACGAACTTGTGATATCCCTAAAATATTTGTCGATATCCCTATATCCCACTTTTCAATATAGGTAAAATGTCAATATATGTATAACGTGATATCCACAAATACTGAAATGAAACACTGTGAAGTTATTTGTCTGTCCCGAACATCTCATCTCGAGAATTAAAACTATGTTGAACTTCTGATGAAATCACGATAAAGTGAAATGAAAAATAGAAAAAGTTTTGTCCGTTTCAATGTCATGTGTTTCTGTAGCTACATATCTCAATGCTTCAAAACGTATTGGAAAGGTCAAAAAGCTCAAAAAGTGTGTGGGATTTGAATCATCGACAAAAATCTTCACGTTTCGAGATCTGTTCGTCACGTGTGATGAAAAATGGATCCTCTACGACAACAGGAGACGTTCAGAACAGTAATTGGACATTGATAAACCACCCAGGCACTTCCCAAAGGCAAAAAATACGTTAGCAGCATCCGACACTGGTCAGCAGAAGAGGTCCGATACTGCTCCACGACAACGTTTCACAAATTACGGTCCGAAAATTAAAAGAATTGAGCTTCGAAGTTCTTCCTCACCCAACATACTCCCCAGACCTCTTGCCAACCGACTACCATCTTTTTAAGCACTTCGATAACTTTCTCACCAGTACAATCCTCGCCAATCAGGACCAGGCAAAAACGGCCTTCGTCGACTTCATCGAATCCTAATGCAGACGGAATTAATCGACTTGTGCATCAATTGAAATGATGCTTGTTTCGATTGAATTGAATAAGTATTCTGTGAGAAATGACAGTGTGAAAGTAGACTCAGAACAACGAACAAAACTTTTGAAACAACCAATATAGCCATTCCATTTCGAGACAAATAATGGGCCAACATCGGGTCTCGAACATTTTTGAACTGGTTTTTCATATTATTTATTGCCCTTAATACACTTATTTGCTGCATTGTTGCGCAATCATTCAAAATCCTCAATCTCGAGTCTTCCAGATTTTCTATCTCTCTGCCAGCGTAAATAATTATTTGTCTCGAAATGGAAGGACTCCAATTCGAACATTTATTATGCCATTAATTTTTTGTGTAAATAAATTTCTTCATTTCATCTTTTATTACAATTATAGTGTTTGTTATGGATGTTATTAATGCTATCATTTATTTTTGTGCTCATAAAAACACATATAATATATTTTTGTTGGAGATATGTTTCAGATAATCATAAAAGATTTTCCAATCCGAAGTTCATTGTAGAAAACGCTCAGAGCAATGGAAATATGAAAAAATATGAATAGGTACCTAAAAATAAAAAACAAAACTCTCTAAAAACTCTACGGTACATAAGGAGACGTAAAAGTTGCTATTGTGTTTTTATTTAACTCAGTTAACCAATTTCCAGGGCCGTAATTCAAAAGGGAATAATTCACCCAATTATAATCAAATATTACCGAAACATCCAGGAATATAAAATAGAATTTAATTTCTCAGTATAAAGTGAACGGCTACGATCCAAAAACTACAACAAAAAATACAGGTCCGTATTTAAAAATTCAAAGATGAGGGTGGCCCAAGTCAGATGACACCCTATGTAAAAGATTCATGAACATATTCAGATAGCTCACATCAAGTGCCAATAGCAAAATGTGGACAGATTTTCAACATGTCTGCGAATAAAGAAGATATAGGCAAAAAAATTATTTGGGATTTTTTGGTTTTTTCTGTATATCTCCAGAACCAAAAGAGCTATATTCGATTTTTTCACATAATTGAATAGGTCTCTAAAATACGCAACTCTGCCACAATTTAACCGACAGTCCATCTCTTATCGTTTACGAGATCCCCATGTACAGAAACGAATTTGAATAGCCCTGTATATATTTTTGATCTTCGAGAGGTATTTTCCGAAAGATACTTATTTCCAAGTTGAATTGGGCATAATATATGTAGGTTATTCGGGGTCTGACCTAATCAAATCGATCTAATGAAACTGAAATGTTGATTGAAATCAATAAATATGGGTACATGTAGAAATTAATAAATAGGCATACTTAGCGTTTAGTGATTTTTCCATTATAATGATTTATTGACCAATTAAGTACTTTTTTCTTTTGTATTGTTGCTAATGAGAAATATTTTTGAGTTAATTTTTATATAACAACTTTTACAATAATTTTGTCAATAATTCTGTTTGACGGTGGGCTATAATGACCCTAGTAGTCAATACCCCTAATACCAAAAAAAATTGTCAACTATAGTGAATGTTTTCTATTACTTTTGTAATGTTTCATGCGTTTCAACCTCGAAGTGCTTCGTAGGGAGTCTGATATTTTTAATAATCAATTTATTACACTTTGCAGGACTCAAACGGTGAAGAATGCTCAGGCGGAGAGCGAGAAAATAAAGTTGCTAGGTTCAGCAGAAGCTTCTGCCATTTCAAGCGTTGGTAAAGCAGATGCTGAAAGGATGAGACAGAAAGCTGCCGTTTATAAGCAATATGGAGATGCTGCCATTATGTCTATTGTTCTCGAAGCCCTACCAAAAGTAAGAACATACCGCTGACTGAAATGAACACTTGAGGATCAACCTCCGGTTATTCTATTCTATGATACTAATAATAATAATAATAAAAACTGCATAAAAAATCTTCTCCTACAATAGATTTTATGATTAGAATGGTAGTATAGATCACCCAAGCTTAATCAGTAGTTGCCCTTATTATTTATTTAACTTGAAATTTATGTATATACTTTTTGTTTACACTATTACTCTAAAAATAGATATTCAAAGTGGTATTTCGAGGTTAGGTTAGGCCCTTAAATGAAAATAAACTGAACTTTGCCTTTCATTTCCCTGTAATAAAAATGTTATTGTATAAAGCTGTTATTACTTAATATTGGAGATAATAAAGACGAATTATTATCATGATTATTATATAGACTAAAAATATTTACTGTATTGGTTTTTCAATTCAGTTATAATTTATATCTGACCAAATCTTAAAAAGTACCAGAAAGAGAGAATATATACTTGCAATTAAAAATCATCTCTTGAACTTTTCTCTGTTGCCTTCTGTACAACCGCTCTTCTACATATTGCGGATGACGTAATAGAAGCAATTGATGAAAACAAATGTATGGTGCCAGTCCTACTAGATTTCAGCCGGGCGTTTGATACTATCACTCATAATCTTTTGTTAGGTATTTTGGATTATATTGGTTTTCCAGCCAACGCTTTATCAGCAGATAGCTTATATCTCAAATCAGGGGTACCTCAAGGATCCATTCTCGGCCCTTTACTGTTTTCTATATATACTTCACACTTTTCATACGCTGATGATACTCAAATACATCACAGCTTTTGATGCTTGTCAATATAAAGAGATTTGTTGAACTAGCAACGGACCACTGTTCATTTATAAGTCTCAGTAAATCGAATGCAATCATCTTTGGTCCAAAATTTTACCGTTCCCTAGTGATTAAATCGGCGAATATCTGCATTCAAAATGACCACTAGATATTGTTAGTGAAGCAAAAAAACTTGGTGTTTTCATGGAGATAGATCGAATATTTGAAAAATTCATGAAAAAACTCTTATAACTTGCCTACTCTGCACTAAAAATCATTTATGGTAATCGACATATTTTGCTTTATGTGAAAAAGTCCGTATGTGAATCATTGGTGTTTTCAGTTTTCAACTACGCGGATGTTCTTCATGGTCCATTTGCAACCACTCAATACAAAAATGAGATTCAAAAAGTTCAACACTTGTGCCTTACAATAATTTTTGGTATTGATCCTCGACAAAGGATCTCATGTAAGCTTCAAGGAATTGGGTGGTTGATTGAACATGGAGAAAAGAAGGTTATTTCACGCTGTCTGTTTTCCCCAACTTCAATATTCGATAAAAAATATGATTGCAATGCTAAAATTCAGAACAAAAGTATCCATTTGGTCTTTTATTTAACAAATTCAATTATATATAATTCTGTCCCCAACTCAATCAAACTAATAAATTTCACAAATTTTAAAACTAGATATAAAGATATAAAATGAAAGTAAATGATTGATATCTTGTAGGAAATAGATAAACTAAACTCTTTATAATATTATTATATGCAACAATAACAGTTTTACGTTTGTTCGAAAGTTGTTGAAAATGTTTCATGATGAATTTCCATTGTCTAATNTTAGAGAACTTTTTATACTTAAACTTTAAATGAAAAATATATATTTTCAAAGTACAATGTCGAATAATTGGAGTTCTACTTTGAAAAATTTGAATCAAAATAAATATATTATTCACTATATTACCGAAGTATTTTTTGAATCTTATGGACAATAATGAAAATATAAAAAAACTATAGAGATTTCAAAAAGAGTTTTTTTAGTGGATTGCATCTGGCTTTAATTTTGATATAAAGTATAATAATTTCAAAATTGAATGCTGAAATATTTCTAAGCTGTAAAATCAGAAGTATAATTTTGTCTATTGGTTAATATCGAACTAAAGATCTTGTTCAAAATCGTAAACTATTTGAGATGTAAATTCACATTCATTTTTGGTTTTCTACCAAACACTTCAAAATTCTTAATGCTTTTTTCAAAATCTCTTGATATTTCTAGTAATTTTCGGAAACGTGTGAATATATTTTTATCTCGAAACTTTGTTCATAGAATGGAGGCTAGCAAAATTTGACAAACTGTTACCATGATTTGATGGGAGGAAGGTTAACCTAGCATTTGCAGAGGAATTGTTTTAATGAAGTGGTTTTTTTTACATTCTGAGTTATTTTTGAACATCCAATGGTGAACTTACTATGGATGATTGAAATGCGATAGTTGAGTTGTTATTGTTTATTTTTTCAAGTAGGTTGCAGCTACTGACCAACTGATAAGTGAGGTGTAAAAATGTGAGAGGAAAACTTACAGTGCTCTGAGATAAATAAGTGGCAATTTAATTCAGCCCAATAAAGCTGACCAATTCGGTTATTCAGAATTTATAATGGAACATACCACTAAAAATACATGTTTCATTTTAAGCCTAAACTTTTTCATTGAACTTTTGTTACAGATTATATCCAAAATAACTCCTTATGACTCACATTGGGTGTTATATTCTTCTTATGCATTTTTCTTTCTTTTCTGCCGGAATATCTGATATATACAAACAAAAAACATAGCTGTTCACAATTAGATTTTATGCACGTCTGAAAATTTGATTTTAAATTTTATTAACAAATTAAACATTTTTTATCGTTTCAATCCGATTATTGATATTATACCTAGACAAATAACTAACGATAGACTCCAGAAGGATTTCAAATTAATAATTTCAAAAAATACTCGTTTATTCACAGAAAAACACTCGAATTTTACTGTTTAATGTCCCATCTGAAATTTAGAAACTACAATTTTGTGGAGATATAATGGAACTTATAATACATTCAAATTGAGGAGAAATTATTTTTGGAGAAAAGTCTTTGTTTTCTTCATCATTTTTCAAAAAATATGGGAATCTTCCGAAAAAAAACAGAAAAAACCTATGACCATATTTGATTTCAACGAAGGCCAAAAAACAATATTTATTTCAGTGTATATTCAGAATGTATTCCTGGGGGAGGAGGGTATCAAGCATCCCAATCATGTTCATCATATGAAATGATAAGAGCCTTTCCATTTTTTACTGTACCCTGGGAGGGGCATTGCACCCCCTTATATACGTCCCTGACCAAGTTGTAACAATGCATAGAAAACAAATTACAAACATTAACTGGCACCATCAATTTAACAATAGGTAAAAGGTAAAATATATTTATTCAGTTACTGTAATGATTACTTCCCAAAATCAATAATTCAAGAGCCATATAGATCTGTTGTTAGTCAATTCTCCATACAACATCAATAAATTCAAAATTATTAGGAATTGAATGAGTATTTTTATCAAATTTATCTTTCATTTTCATTTATTTGAAAACTGTTCATCATACAGCTTTTACTAATGGAATCTTTTTTGTAGGAAATTCAATAATCTACAACAGCTTCATATTCACTTTTTCTTTAAAAAATTGTGCCAAAGAATTGAGTTAAGAAGGTAGGAAAAAAAAATGAAGTCGCTTAAAAATTAGACGTTCATTCCACTATTGACATTTAAAAAAAATAATTTCACTCTGAATAATCTATCGTACTGAAGAATAAAGTGTTAATGAGGTACCACAATTTGTGTAATATAATTGAAATATAAATCAATATATCTACAACCAACACATCACTTAGAGCACTGTATAAAAGACCATGTACAGCAATTTACATTGATCAGTGAGAAAGGCGATATAAAATGGTGTTCATGTACCATAGTAGTTACTTTACATTGAAGCTACCAAACAATGTAATTTTAGAGTGTAGATGAGACCCACATAGATAAAATACTAGAATGTAAAATGAATCAATGTATTTTTCTACTCGCATTTACCTAGTTTTTTATGAATCTATAATTTATCTTTCATCTATTTTTGTCAGTTTTTTATTTTAAAATATGGAGTAGTTTTTCTCACAAACTTCTACACTGTATTTCATGTAATAAACTGATTGTAGAGTTCTGTAGTTCTAATGTCCTGAAAACAGATATTTTATTTTAATTTTTTTATACTTCATCAACAGCTATCGGCAAATCAGTTTTGAAACTTTTACTCAAATTTTGAAGAACATATTTTTCTGCACAATATTTTAAATTTCTACTTCTTTTTTGAAATTTTTTTAGAAGTTCACATGTTTTTATTTCCCACCAATGTCAGTGTTGTGTTACATTCACCAAAGATGTGTGTGTTGTGTGCATTCTGAATAAATGTTTGCTAATTTGTATATTTTATCAGTTTTTAAAATGTTTTTTATGGATTTATTTCAAGTGTTATATATTTCCAGTCCATTTATCTACATTTTGTTCTTTATCCATCTAAATAACTGTTTCTCTCAAATAAAATTGATTTTACCTTCAAAAAAGATCTGGCATGCACTTCTAAACTGATTTTTCTTTTGAACAACAAACGGATTTATATGAATGAGTAAAAAATTCGGAATATTCAGTCTTCCCTTGAAGCATTCCGTAGTTTATGTCTATATATCTTTCATTTTTATCCTGCAGGGACTATTTTTGAATTTACCATCTGAATATTTGAAATATTTTGGTACATTTGAAAGTTCAACAGTTCAAAGCAATTTTCAAGAAAAATAATTTATGTGATATCCCGACAAGTCCTCATTTAGTAAAACAAATATGTTTCAGTTGTTTAGGTGCATCATTTTAGCATATTATTTTATTTTTGCATCTACTTTGTAGTTATTATTTTATTATAGTTTAATATTTTGTATTTCCTTTTATCTTTGAAGATTTATTTCTTGCATTCTGCAGTTTATTATGACAACTTTTTCTGTCTGTTGAAAATATTATTGAAAGTCTTATTGAAATTTAGGCAATTTTGCAAGCTTGGACATACTATGAAAATATTCTACATTGTACATGCTCTCACTATGTAACCTAGCTTTTTCAGATTACCAGAGATAAACTTGTATGTAAATGATGGTAAACTGAATGCAAAGAATAATCTTCAATATATGAGTGTATATGATTATTGTAAAACTTGTTTTTCTCATTCTACTCACCAACATGAACGAAAGAAATATTTTAATAAATGGCATTGCAAATTGAGTTTTTTTTCATTACACCACCCACCCTGTAAAAAAGCAAGACATAATGATGGTCCAGAATATTTTAACTAATTAATCTACTATACCAAGCCAACAGTGAACAGGTTAACTTTAAACCTAACCTATGATTTCAATATGGGATTTTTGATGGTTAAAACATATTTGAAACGTTAAAAAGCTCCAAAAGTAGATGTTTCATGATTTGATAATTTTTTGGATCGGTTTGTCACGTGTGATGAAAAGTGGATCCTGTACGACAACAGTAGACGTACAGAATAGTGGTTGGACACCAGACACTTCCCAAAGGTGAAAACCCAACGAAAATCATGGCGGTCAGCAGCTGGTCAACAGAAAGGTCCAATCGTACTCCACGACAACGCCCGTACGAAAATTAAATGAATTGAGCGTCCGAGTTCTACATCATCCACCATACTCTACAGACCTCTCGCCAAGTGACTACCATTTTTCAAGCACTTCAATAACTTTCTCATCGGTAGAACCTTCGCCAATTAGGACTAGACAGAGCGACCTTCGTCGATTATATCGAATTCCGAGCACCCACTTTTTATGCTGACGTTTTGAAACAATCGAATAATAAAAAAATAACTTCATGAAATTCCAAGCAGCAACTTCATGAGGTAATGTTCAATGTAGAGGAACAGAAAAAAGGTTAGTAGTAGATAAATCAGGAGTTTGCAGGCAATGAGTCATCAAAACAGTATTTTCCGTCTAACCAAACATAATAATAATAATCTATTGGTTCTTTAGATTATGTCTAGCATGACATAGAACAAGTCAGCATAGTACAGTATCAGTATAAGATAAATTAATATTAAAAACATTTTACCTAAATTGTAGTCAATATAATTAATATAGTTATTGATGTAACTAAGTGTATGACAGCATGTAAAAGGACTTAATATAATAATATTGGTAGTTAATTATTTGTAATTGGTTCTTATTACTATTTCATACATAAAACAGAACAAGTCAGGTGTCAGGAACAGTTTGTCCACGCGAGTTTTCGATTATACAAACAAGAAACCTAACTTATAAACAGATTAGAGATCATACATGTTATATTAGAAAAGAACCACATAACATACATAAAAACATCTAAAAGCAATAAAAACAAGTGGTTTGATAGAATATAAAATATGAAAATAGGCATGCATACTATTTTGAATTTATTCAAAGGAAGATTTTTGTAGCAGTTTGGAAGATGATTGAACAAAGTTATTGCCATGTAGTTTGGGCAACGTTCTGTTTTTTGGAGACGGTGATTCGGCACTTCCAGGATTGCTGCATTTCTTGTGTTATATCTACTGTTTTCCAGCGCTTTGAATGAGGCCAACTCTGTTTTGGCATATATCAGTATGTGTATGACATACAAAGAATGGAAAGTCAGGATTTTCAGCTGTACAAATATATTCTTACAGCTTACTCTCCTGGCCACTCCAACGATATTTCTAACGGGTCATTTCTGGAGTTTGAGTACCCTATCGGCCTCCTGTGATACTCCCCATACTATGATTCCATATGTCATTACTGACCGAAAGTGTGCAAAATATATTATCATTAGTACTGATTTTTCAACAGTCTTCCTGAGTTGGTACAGGAGATAACACTTTGGAGCTAGTTTTTTGCACACTTCATTTATATGGGTAGTCCATGTACAGCGTTCATTCACATACAGCCCAAGGAACTTCGTAGAAGGTGCTTGAGTGATAGATCTGCCGTTAGATTTTAGCAACAAGCTGTGGTCGAGTTTATTATTTGAGTGACTAAATCTTATGAACGTTGTCTTCTCCATGTTCAAAACTATTCCATTTGGAGAGAACCATTCCTCAGATATTTTGATTTCTTCATTGGCCTTCAGGACTGTTTGCTCTCCCTGTAGCTATGAGGGAGGTGTCGTCTGCATACATTATACAACTTTCATTAGAAATGTCATTCTCGTATATCAGATATAACAGAGGACCTAACACATAACCCTGGGAAACCTCTACATCATTTGTTGTTTTCAGCGAAGTGTGATTGTTTTCTTGAACATACTGCCTCCCGTTTGTTAGATAACTTTTTAGCCAATCATGTACCACTCCTCTGAAACCGTACAGTTCTAGTTTTGTTAAAAGAATTTCATGGTTGACAAGATCGAATGCCTTGCTTAGATCCAAAAAAGTGCAAACCACTTTGATACCTTTGTCGTAACTCCTCCAAAAGTCTACTTACAAGCGTCACCACTGCATTTGAGGTTGATTTGCCTTTTTGGAACCCATACTGATTCGTGTTCATTAAATATTTATTGATGAAGAACCTTAGTTTGAAAAATTCAATAAAAACAGCAGAATTTTTTGTATGTAGCAGACTCAATAAGTGTTCTGTAGCTTTCTGAAAATGGCAGAGAATATTGGCAGAAAGTATGTGACATTGAGATAAAATGTGATAGAGAAGGCACAAAAAGCAAATTTCCCTGAAATCTATGGAAAAGTCCATACCTTAAAAGCTAGTTTGACAATATGTTTATATGTCAGGCAAATTTAAACTATTCAAATGTTGTGTATGGATGTTTGAGAAGCAAGATAGCTTTGCAGGAAACGATCTATCGAATAGTCAAGGTGGAAAAGAAAAAACTTTGAATTCAAGAATCAAAAATATTCTTCTACGAGGTCTGTCTAGCTCCCTTAAATATAATACACTTGTGCCAGCGTTTTTTCCAATCCTCGAAGATGTTCTGATATGCACTTTTTGGGATGTGCTTGAGCTCTCTCAGCGATTCGGATTTTATCTTCTCAATCGTCGCAAAATGGCGTCCTTTCATTGGTCTTTTCAATCTTGGGAACAGGAAAAAGTCACAGGAGCCAAATTTGGTGAATACGGTGGCTGAGGCATGATTACGGTGTTGTTTTTGGCTAAAAAATTAAAAAATTTCGAACAAGAATTGATGAGTGACGCCTAATTTCAAGATAATACTCCTTATTGACCGTTCGACCATGTGACAAGAACTCCTGATGCACTACGCCACAGTAATTGAAGAAAACAGTGAGCAAAACCTTGAAATTTGATCGAACTTGACGTGCTTTTTCTGGTCTTGGCTCTCTATTGGGACGATTGGACTTCGGTTTCACTGTTATAACCATATACCCATGATTTGCCCCCAGTTTAAACCCTTTTAAACAAATCTGGATCGCCGTTGTCATTAATCAATTCCTGAACAATGCTCATACGACGGATTTTTTGGTCAAAATCCAGAAATTTTCGAAAACTTCGCTGCAACACGCTCCATGCCAAAATTCTCAAAAAAAAATTAAAAAATGGCACGAGCCTACCGATATCCTCAGCATTTTCTCTTACAGTTATTCAACAATTTTCCATAACAATTTTCTTCTTTCTCAACATAAGTTACTTCATAAATTCAAAGTGTTTTTCATGAAAAAAAATAAATTATTGGTAACTTGTCGTCTTCAATAATTTTGACTATCAGAAAATAATTAAGAAATTATACTACGACAACCACCAACTCAACAACACCAGTATCAATATTTTGTTGCAAATATGCCCCTTTAACATGTGAGGTAATTCATGGATCGATCAGATAATTAATTCTACACCAGAGGTTCAATTACACTTGCCTCTTGAAGATGATCACTTGGTGATCGAAACACGTGTCGAGGTGTTAAATAAAAAATTTGTAGTTGGGAAAAAACTCCAGTAATATTCTTTGCCAACATCTTATTTAGTTCAAATGGCAAGTGTATTAGGTGTAAAACTATATACGAAGCCTAGGAAGTAAATATTTGTGTTTTTCTGAAATAAATTCCAAGTTCATTTGCTTTGTTCTGGTTAACACAACACTATTGCCACAATATGCATTTTGATGTTTGCAACTACCATTCATTTGTGATAAATAACTAAAATGAAAGTACACAGAAAATACACGTTCTCAGATAAAGATATAGAAAAGGCTGAAGGAGTCTGAAAAAAAAAACACCGATTCAATGAAAAACAAACTGTGTAATTCGACATTATTTTATTATATTATACACAGACGTTGATGATTCACACAATATGTGCAAAAAACAACGTCCATAGCATTGTAAAAATTAAGAAAATATACAAAAAATCACAATTTGTACCTAGGATTTTTACAATGCTACCATTTCAATAGTAAATATTTCAAGTCAAAGTTTGTAATGGAAGCTTCTCCAAAACATACATGAAAATAAAACGAAGCTTAGTAAATTTATAATAAAGAAAATTGTTATTGCATAATATCTGTCACACCTTATTCAACACACTTTGCAATCAATTCAAAAGTGAACTTTATATTTTGGTATTATATACAGTACTGATAATAAATGTTATATTACAAAGAAATTGTGTTCCAACGTAAACTGAATTTTAAATCCTGTTAATAGTAACGTTTCAGTTTGTTCCTTGTTATAACAATATGTTTTTGAAAGTATATATTTATACCAAGGCCTAGTCAAACATGTAATTTATGGTTAGCTTTCTGAACTGATGATTTGGAAAAAAGTGATGAGCAATTTGCCTCTCCAAACAACAATTTTGAAGCGAACATAATTCATATGAATTTGTACGTAGACCGGAATTACTTCCCAAACAATTTACAATATCTGAATATTTCAATTCATATCAATACTTTCTTACTCTGAGATTTTTTGATTATTAATGTTCATCTGAATATATTAGGTTCACATTCGACTTTGAATTGAGAAAAGTAGCAGTTTTAAATAAACAAAATATGTACTCCATTCCTGTTTAAAAAATATAAGATATATTACAAATAACACGGGTACTCTCCAAGATGGTCATTTTTTTCACCTTGTCAGTATAATTTGAAATATTTATCTGATCTATATAAACACTTCTATTTCACATATATTAGCTTACGCCGAATTCATTTTCAGATCCTAAAATAACTACTTCAGAAACACTGTCTACAAAACTTCACCCTCTAGCAACCATGATGGTAGCTGGTAACTTATAAAATAATCTGTTTACTCAAAATCTGGAGATGTTCTCTCGATGGAACTAACGTAATTTTTCCTATATAACTATATATAACTTTTTAATATTACCAAATAGTTGATTCAAAATAAAATTAAATATTCAATTTTCGTGAGTTACACATTCAATCTAATTCCAGTAACCGACAATTTGAATATGTTCATAAAAATGCTGGGAACAATAATTACTCAAAACATGTCATTGTGTTCATATTTTTTATTTATCTATACTTAAGAAGGACAAGTTCTGTTACTGATAATCTTTTGTATTTGGTGCCGACATCTTTTGTCCAAATACAAAACCACTAACTTGAAAGTACAATTTTGAGAAAAGTAATTTTATACTTAGACAAGAGATGTCAGCAACAGAAACAACAGAAACATGAGACCAGCAACAGAAACAACAGAAACATGAGACGTTCACAAACAGATAAAGAAGTGTCTGAATAACACTTAAATTTTGGAAATAATCGTAACAAATCACATTATGATCAAGCAATGTAAACTTCAACGGCAGGGTATAACTATAAAAGCTATTTTCCAGGTTTTTTGGCAGTGGTCTGGAGGTTTTTATGCCTGGCGTTTCGTTCGAACCGCGGTAGATGATGTGGTAACGGTCACAGTGTCTGAGTTGGTGCCCGAACACATGTTAGTACGTTGCTAGTATTTGATTCTGGTTTTATATTATTATTAATGGGCGTGGCTTAATTTCTCTCAATTGGCATTGCCTTGTTTGTGTACCTCTGAGGACAGGTAGCCAGACCTTATTGATGTTCGTTGCCTTTTTTTTATTGAAATTATCCCTGTTTTTGTATTTCTATTGCCTCTCCATATACACTTGGTTAGTAATTGCGAGTTTTATCGTGTATTACTGAATCTTCGAATGAGATAAAACTCAAAATTCAACTATCCAAGAATATATAGAGGGACAATAAAAATCCAAAAACATAGGGATAATTCCAATAGAAAAGAAGAGGCAATGAACATCAATAAAATCTGGTTACCTGTTCATATTATACACAAACAGGGTTAGGTATTCCAATTCAGATAAACCCAAGTCACCTCTACCAATAATAATATAAAACCAGAGTCAAATACTAGCATCGTAGTATATGCATTCGGAACAACGGGAACACCAACACAGGCACTACGACCGTTACCACATTGCCTTTGAAAATGTCAACCGCAGTAGTAGACGAAAGGGCAGGCATCAAAACCTGCAGACTACAGTCAAAAAACACGGAAAATAGCTTTCATATAACTTGCATTATGGTTTCAAATGACAGTTTATAAACATATTGGAGAAAATATAACCCATATTACATGATGGAGCAACCCAAACCACAAATGTGACTGGATTTGTTTTCTGCAACTGAATAATTCCAATCTTAAGCATAGCTACTCTACACTCATGATGACCAACTACTTCCAAATGAGTGTCTGCAATTTGAACTGTTTTGCCTACTTTCAATCTATAATTGAAATATTCCATACATATTAATTTATAACCCAATTGAAGATATATCTCCTATTCACCAAATCATGGTTTTCCACTTCCACAATTCATCGTCATCTACTATATTATTAACCGAGAAAAAAAATTGAATCACTGATTAGAATCAAGGTTTCCAATAATTCGTTGTTTCGTACATGCCTTTTCAGTTTGAAATTGATTGCAAGATATTCAAGTTCAGTATGTTTTGAGAGAACCACGATTATCAGAAAATTTCAAATATGAAATCTAAAACTGGTGCCTGAAAATTATAAGACACGTCTAGTTCTACATAACATAGTAAAAGATCGCTATAAAAACTTTACATAGAATAACTTACTGAACAGCGTGAATAAATCTTTTTCGTACATATAAAAAGAGAAACAAAAAAACAACTTATGCAGTAGTAGTTCTTTTTTTAAAACAGCCTGCACGTAGTTTTATTCAGGTTACATTTTGCGAAATGTAAAATTTCCTTCCACAATAACTTAAATATTAAGGACACACAAAAATTAAACGTTGTTACCATCCTCCACCACTTTCTCTTCTCTCGGTTTGGCCCCCCCAAATATAGAGGAAGTCTGAGACGATTCTGCTATGGCATTAACAGGGGCTTTTACTGTTCTCGGCAACAGTTTCAATTTCGGCCTTCCGCTTGTATCTAAATTAATAAAAGAAAACAAATGATTATATAATAATGATAAATAATTGAACCAACAAAATTACCTGGTGCTGGGTTAGGAAGATCCTCAGAGAAACTTTTCCTTTCTTGGCGAGGTCTACCTCCACCACTAAATCCTCCTTGTCCTCCCATATTTCCTCGGTTACGGTTGGAACTCCATTCACCTCCGCCTCCTCGCTGTTGATGAGGTCCTCCATCATCACCTGTTCAATTTTTATTATCAGAACTTGATATAAAATTTCAAATGATTTTTTATTTCATAGTCTAGTGATAGATATCAGCAGAGATTATTATAGTACCTCAAGTTTAAATCTTGAGGCTTACATAAGAGAAAAGACCTGCTTTTAATTGGTTTATTTATTTCACAGGATAAAAACCATTTCAATGAAATTACAAAATTGAACCAACTGCTTCATAAAAATTAAGAGACAGCGTAACACTAAATGAATGAAAAAAAAATTAAAAATACACTACAAAATAACAACAATCGAGAGTTTGAGATTTCACCATTAGCTGGTTTAGGATGAAAGCATAAGTTGAAATGAATATAGCTTGTTCTTAATGAATGGACGATCAATTCTCATAGAATATTAGTGTAGTCATGATTTGTGCCCTGTACTCTTTCTATTGCTGCAAAATAGATTTAATGGGCTGAGGACCAAATAATATACTATTGTTATACACTTCCATTGAGACGATTGGACTTTGGTTTGTATGTCATAACCATACACTCATGATTCGTTATCAGTTATGACCCTTTTAAGACGATCTGGATCGCCGTTAACGTCACTCAACAATTCCTGTGTGATGCTAATGCATGACATGAGCCAACCGATATGCCGACATACTTAGCAACTTCTCTGATAGTGATTCGACAATTCTCCATTACAATTTCCTTAACTTTCTCAACATTTTCATCGGTTGTTGATGTGCTGAGGCGTTCAGTGCAAATGTCATCATGTATATCTTTGCACAAGAGCCTCTTAGGATGCAGGGTTTGGGTACGCCGGTCGGTAGGGTGACGAGAAAAGGAATTGGAAACACCAGTTAGCTACGATTTTGTATTTCACAAGTAATGCTGGATGACAGTAATATGGCTTCTGATTTTGAGTATCTAAAATAAAATATGCGTCTCAGTACGAACATTTTGTTACAATGAGATCTGATACCTCTCACGGCCACATGGCGTAAAACATTATTCACTAAGCAAGTAACACTTTCAATCACAATTACCATACCTAAAATAAAATATGCGGGTGCAAGATCCCGTGGAATGCACAGTTCTTTAAAAACCCAAAGCAATCTTCTACCATTCGATACTCTGCGATTTCCGTACCACACTCTCTAGAAAAAATACGGCACGTTTTCTTCAACACCTGAAAAAACTAACCTCACAACGAGAACGAATATTCAACAAGTGAAACGCGCGGCGCCCCCCCATTTCCCTCCTATCTAACCTTGAACTAATAAGCTGATGGGAAAAGATCTTTAACAGTGTCCTATGTATCTTACTACCGTTGTGTGTGGCAGAAGTTCGCTAAGAGATGGCGCGGTGACGTAAAGTCGCTTTTAGTTGAATTAACCGAAATGAACTATAGATCCGTTACATCTTCTTGATCTTCTGTGAAAAGCTGTCAACATTTCAAGTGTTTTGGCACATAATTCTATTTCTCACACAAAATTTTATGCAAATAAGGAATGTTCCTCAATTTGGGTTATTACAGCAAATGCAAGTTTGAACAAAATAAAGTTGAGTTTAATTCATGAGTTTTTCAAATTCACTTCGAAAAGTATTCAAATTGATGTTTCAAATGTTGGGTTTTAATTTTTAAAGGGATTTGTTTCTAATTCACATATTGGCAACAGCCCTTATATCAAGTTGAAATAATTTATACGTACCTAGATATTCTACTTTAAAAAAGGAAAATTATCTTTATGAATCAACAATTAAGGCAAAATATAAATTATAGTTCAATACCACCTCCACAAGCCACATAAACAACAGTTGTTTTGTTATTTATTTATATAGATTAGGTGCACAAATGGCATATGTCACAGAATGTCTCGGAACTCATTTATTTATATAGATTAGGTGCACAAATGGCATATGTCACAGAATGTCTCGGAACTCGGAACATAAGTAAAAGAACAGCACGCCTCTAAAATATTTCTTCTTTGTTTGTCTCATACAGGTAACAGATTCATTGTCCTTTATTAGCTATAACCGATGTTGCCAAATGGTAAAATAGAAAAGAATCCCTTTAAATGTTGAATGCATTATTTCATCCCTCTTTTTTAAGTAATTGATTGATTTTTTAAAGAAAAAGGTTGAAATGATAAGTTTAAAATGCGTTGTTTTAGAGCTCTTTTATGAAAACTACTTCATTTTCGTCAGGAGGAACATTCCCTATTCTTTGATACAGGTTTTTGATAGCAAAAAATCGCTGAATAGGCAAAACACTTGCTAACTTTTATGTCTCTCACAAACAAACTAAACATGTTAAGCAGCTGAAACTGTGTACATATGTTCAAGATAAGTGTACCAACATAAAAAAAATTAAAAAATCGTAGCCCAAGAAATTTGAACATTCAACTCATTATTTTGAACAGACCTTGCAATGCATATATTTCATAGATACCAGACAGGTTGAGGAATCAATTATTTGAAGATGATGGTTAAAAAAGAATTAGTGTGCAATATGTGGCGATAAAATGATTTTGCATATGGAAAAAGTTATTTCGAGACAATATGACAGAGTGCACAAGAGAATCTACTTCAAGAAATCTATGGATTTTATTTCATAAAAACTGTGCTATTGTTGAATGAGACAAGGCTAACTTGATTTGAGAAATTGAATCATACATTTCATTAACAAATATACTGACTCTTTGGAAAAAATTATAGCATACACAACTTAAAATCAGAAATGTGTTTACGGCAATATATAAGAAACTGAAACCCATATTTTCTATGTTTCATATCCAAATCTAAGAGAATTTCGAATTTTAAATATAACTAATGTAGTGTAGCTAATTTCATAAATCAATTTTGAATAAAATTCAGAACAGAAACAGTTTGAAACCATATCAAATCAATTTTTTTACCAATTTATATCAATGACAATAAAATGATTAATATGATAAAAATTTAATTGAAAAAGCTGCAAATAAAGTAATTTTTCACCTGTGAAATTTCCATAATTTCCTCGGTTACCAGCTCTGTCACGGTCATTAAAATTGCCTCTTGGTGGCCCTCCTCTTCTGTCAAAGTCGTCATTGCCATATCTATCACCTCTGAAACCTCCACCTCCTCTGCCACGTCCTCCTCGCCCAGATCTGTCAAATCCTCCACCCCTATCGTTGCGTTTTCCTGAAAGTATATTGTATTCATTTCACTAACCCCTTCATTTTAAGAACAAAATACTAATGACAATATTTTTAACTAATAATTCAAAGATGAACAAAAAACTAAATACCTTCAAGTTCGCGGAACTCAATAATTATGAACAATAATATTTTTGACCCCTTTGAGTTCAAAAAATAGCAAGAAGTTGCAAAGATGGCTCAGGGTCGACCATTTTTGCAATTGAAGATATGAATGAACTGTTATGTATGTATATAAGTTGTTTGAGAGTAGGTAGAGTCGGAGCCGCATAGTTTAGGGCCCGGCTGGCAAGAACCACCTGCCCTAAATGAGCAGTCCGATACAGGGTACTAGAATGGTGCAAGTGAAATACCTAGAAAAAGTACCAAAATCATTGAAGAAAAAGAAATAATGAAATAAACTCCCTTGGTTTTCTCACGAACGCAATATATTTGACAAACGGTATTGAAACATTTTGATATAATAAAACATGCATAAGCTAGTAACTATTTAAACTCATTCAAAACATACCTTCTGCTACATCAATTTTTATCATATGACCTTCAACGTCTATGTCACCGTTCAATTCAATAGCTTTCACCAAGTCATCCAATGTTTCGAACTCAACGTAACCAAATCCTTTGAAGACATCAGTCTCTTTATCCATAACGAGCCTTATATTCTTAACGTGGAGTTGAGGAAATATTAGTTCAATATCTCCTTGAATGATGCCCTTAGGAAGATTCCCAACATAAGCTGTGAATGGAGGTTCTGTTGGAAGGGGTTTTCTCCCCCCACCCCTTCGACCTCCACCATAGTCTCTGAAAGGTAACAGAATAATAATAAAAAATGCATTCATTGCTCACAACTAAAAAAAGTTGATCAAAATAAAGTTGAGACACATGAGAATGAGTTGAAAACCACTGATACGTCCAATTTTTACTGATAAATTATTAATTGCTCTTCCAGTTGACTTCAAAAAATTGATGATAAATAATAAAGATCGTTTAGTTAGCACAAGCCTAATTCCTGAATAACATGATTTCATCAGGTAATTTAAAGATGAGAAATATCACATTTTTTGTACTTAATTGAATTACACAGGAAATAAAAACAAGAATAAAAAATTACATTAGGTACTGTCAAAGAAAATATGGTTAAGAATTTATAAACGCGAAAATATGTTTCTAATTGTGAATGAAAGCGGGGTTTTTCAATTTGACTTTGAATATAATGAGACTTCCTAAAGTCTTAAGGTCATTGGTGAGTTTCTTATATGCATTCAGCCCTCAGAAGAGAACTGAATTTTAGGATGTTTTTCTTGTAACATCTGGTATAGAAAAATATTTTGTGTCCTGGTATTGTAATTGTGGTTTTCAGAAATAAAAGTGATTTTTGTTTTGTAAATAACGTGGAGCTTGATACAAGAGGAATTTATGAACAGGCAACCATTTAAACGAACATATCCCTTATTCGAGTTAGTTTAGGACAAGATAACATCATTCACGTTGCACGACTTTTTTTTATAATAATAATAATAGCACCATTTACAGGGTTAACTAAGTATGTTGTAAAAATTATATCGATCCTTATAACTACAAAGTTACAATTTGAGAAAATGAATGAATTTATAATATAAAAAAAACTATACCAGAAAATTAAAATTTCTCCATGAAATACTGAGATGCAGTGTCAACAATATATTCTAGGGAATAAAATTGATATCACACATATTTAAAATTAAATTGAAATTATTGCAAATGCTAAAAATAGGTGACTTGAGATACAAATTGGTTCTCGCCAGTCAACTGTAAAAAGTTTTTGTGCTTCTAGTTCTAAAATGAGGCAAACAGAAATTTATAAAAGAAAACACCTCCATAGCATCTACATTGTTGTACAGTAATTTATACAGAAAAATTATTCCAGCAAGTTTTCTGCATAATTGAAGACTTTCAATACTAAATGTTATGGTAAGAGATTCATATGGAATACCTCTATCAGGATAGATACCATAAGATTTGAAGTAAATAAACTTTAGGAAACGACGTTGAACTTTTTCAATTAATGTATTATAGCAATTGTAGAATGGAGACCATAGAACAGAGCCATATTCTAATTTTGACCTTACGTAGGCTACATAAAGAGTCAATAGAGCAGATATGTTTAAAAAAGATCTACAATTGCGAACTATGAAGCCATAATCTCTCAATGCTTCACTTACTTTTGATCGAATGTGGTTGGAAAAAGACAAATTTTGATCAAAATATACACCAAGATCTTTAATTGAGTTACTTCTTGACAGTGAAATAATATCTACTCGATAATTGTACTCGATGACTGACATTTTCTTACTATAAGACACTACTTTACATTTGGATGCAAAAAATAACTTTTACAATGGACATAATTATTGAGGTCATTAATAAATAATAAGAACAGAAGTGGTCCGAGATTCGACCCCTGAGGTACTCCAGATGAAGGATTGGAATAAAAAGAATCATAGCCGTTATAAGATACAAACTGTTCACGTTGAAGTAAGTAGGATTTAATGAAAAGTACTGCTGAATTATGGAAATCAAATTAGTGGAGTTTTTGTAGACTGATCATGTGATCAAGTCGATCAAATGCTTTAGCAAAATCAGTATATATCACATCAACTTGACCACGATTATCTAAGATATCACTGACATTTTGAGTCAATACAATTAAATTTGTTATGGTGGATCTGTTTGACATAAATCCATGTTGTTGCGGAGATGTGATATTACGAACTGAGGAATGTATGCGATTATAGATGACAATTTCGAGAAGTTTTGCAAAGGATTGAGACAGGATGATAATTCCGAATATCAAATGGATCTCCAGACTTAAAAATGGGACAAACTCGTGATATCTTCCATAATTCAGCAAAATTATTATTTTTAACTGCGAGATTGAAAAGTGTCAGTAAGGGATAGACCAATACACCGATGCAATCATTTACAAAAAAGGACGGTATCTTATCAGGACCAGAAGTGAACTTATTTTTTAGTTTACGTGCCGCAATCAAGATTTCCTGTTCGCTGATGTTTGCAAAGTTTATATTATTATAAAAACAATTTGAAATTGATAAGCATGGATGCAAAGTATTTTCATCAACTGAAGAGTTTGAATATGTACTTTGAAAAAAATGTACAAAACTATTTATAATTTCATCTGGAGAATCAATAGTGAAGCCATCATATTCCATCCTACGTGGAATAGAGGTTCTATTCTTGGAATGTACGTATGACCACAATGATTGAGGATTAGATACTACAGATTCTTGCATAGAATTTAAATAAATATCATATGCAGCTTTGATTTGGTTTATGATGACAAGTCTAAGGCTCTTGAATTCATAATTGTACTGCATATTACCAGTTTTCTTGTACTTCTCGAGCAGTTTAGCTTTCTTTTTGATATTGCAAATAATAAAATTTCCATGTTCTCAAATATTCAACCCTCGGTTTTCAATAACACCTAGATATTCAAGTGTTTAGCACCTCATCATTTTTTTAAGCTAACCTACTATGAACGGACTACTCTTTCTCTCACATTTCAACATAATTTGAATTTACTTTTTTAAAAGTAGTTTCAATAATATACACAACGTCTGTAAATATTTTCCAGTTTCTTACTGATTACCTTGTCTACTTATTCATAGTTTTATCCTGAGAAATATTGAAATGTATTATACCAAACAGGTGAACTGAAAACTTTCCAGCATTCACCACTGTCATAATTATCTAAAATATAAAAATGGATGTTTGTTGGTTGGTAAGTGATAAACTTCTACATCGCTCAACCGATCGTAATGAAACTTGACATGTATAAGTAATTTTTCATAGAGAAGGTTTTTAGGCTATCAATTTTTCTGTAACTTGCCACTAGATGGCGTTGTAGAACAATTATTTTAAAGCAGTGTTCGTTAATTCTGATTCTGTCAAAAAATTGGAACAGCAGCGATACAGCAACATAGTACTAGTATAACATATAACAAAGCTCTAAGAAGCACACCTTTATCATTTCTGATTTCTTCAGATAACACCTACATTGCACAAAAATTATACAACTCTCTTTCATATAGAATAACCAGCATCAACATTTCTTTTCTATTCAAAAAAACCCTATTATATTTTCTTCAAAAAGCACCTAGAAATTCAATTAGTGACATCATCGAAGGAAAAAAAATCAATAATCTTTTGAAATGTAATCTGGTTTGTACAACTTACTATACTATGTATTACTGTATATTATATGCGTGCGTCTGAATAAGTATATTCAACGTATAGGTGTGTAAGCAGATGTGTGAAGTGTATATGTTGTTTTTTTTTAATTGGAAATTGATTAGACTTTTGTCAGATTGTTCATATCGTTCGTATATTTTATGTATTTCTAATCTTGTTTTACCACTTTGAAACAAGTATTAAGTTACTTTTCAATTATCAGTTATTTATTCATCCATTTGTATCTTATCATTTGTACTTGTATGGGCGTCATTTTTAATCATGAATAATATTTTTTAATAATAATAATTCATTGACACACAAGTTATACAAAAATGTTATGTGTTGCAGATGAATTAAGGTAACTCTTGAGCGTGAGCTGCTTAACCACAAGCTAGACATTAAGACAGTTGAAAATGTGTCAAAGTATGGTATTACAGACTTACTTTTCTCTTTTTAACTGCCACCTAGCATATGGCATACTTTTATGGGGTCAGTCTTCAAATGCAATTAAAGCCTTTGGTATCCAAAAAAAAAAGCAATCCGGATCAGAGCCAATGTTTCTTACAGAGAACTCTGTCGTCCTCTATTTCAAAAACTCAAAATTCTACCTTTGCCATGTATTTTCATACTTTATAACATTTTAGAGATTCACAAAAATAATACTAAGTACCTTACAATTGCTGACTTTTATAATTACCATACTCGAAGAGGTGCACACCTGAGGCCTCAATTTTATAAACTGGATCTATCAGCTCGAAATTCACTCAACTTACATTTATACAATAAAATACCAACAGACAGTACCAGTCCGAGTTATAACCGTTTCAAAGCTAGAGTTAAACACTCGCTATTAAGGCACTGTTTCTACTCCATCGAGGAATATTTGAATTGTGAGACATTAATATTTTAATATGTTACATGTGTTTTTTATTTTTTTTTATTTCCATAATAATTGTTTTAGATGTAATCAGCGGGTATAACAACAACTATTGTTCAATTATTGTTATTCTTGTTTGTAGTTAATGTGATGAAATAAACATATTCTATCCTATAGACATAGGAGTATACACAAATATATAAATACATGCATAAGAAACACATAATTACAAAAGGAATAATATTTTTTTGAATCACATTCAAATTTGTGTATCAGTGTCTTAAAAAACTGAATAATTTTTAGAAGTAATTAACATTTTTTACATTAAATTTCGATGAACTTGAAGGCGGGGAGTTTGGAGAACCCATGAGGTTTTTCTTTGAAAAGTTCTAGATATTTTGCAAATTTTTTGGTAAGACATTATAAAGTTTTGAACCCAAATAAATAAAACTTCTTTGCAATGTTTTTTGATGGTCTTGCTACTTGCGACATGTTCGATTTTTGCCTGATGACTGATGGCTTGTAAACTTGCTTTATATTCATGTTGGCGGGCTACAATGCTCATAAAATATAATTGTTGAATATCTAAGATGATCGAATAAATGACATTATTATTATTATTACTTTCTTCTTCATCAGTCTCTGTCTTCTAGTGTCAAAGTAATCAAGCTGCCACACTAAAGCTTTTCCTACAGTGCTAATACCTTTAGTTATTTTTTATTAATCGAGCTCTATCAATGGTTTCAAATTATTTTCTTAATTGTTTTTTTAAATCGTCAAGCACAAACTGTATCGTTGTTTCACAAATGTGCCCACTCCAAAACCCTGATTGACAGTAACCCCATTTATAAGCAAGAAATGTATTTGTTGATAATCTACTCCTACTCTTTGCTATACCTTTTCTATAGATGGAAGAAAGGTAATTGGTCTGAAATCACAGATGCTGGACTGAGTCATGGCCGGTGAGAAGTCCCTCCTTCAAGATGTGCAGTTTGACTATTCAAAATATATTTATGCAATTTTAAACTCAATCACTAACTGAATACGGTCCTGAATTTGGATGTGTACGGCTCAAGTAATCTAACAGACTGATAACAGATTTCTAAACATCTACTACACATCTTGAAGGTGGGGTTTCTCACTGGCCATGACTCAGTCCGGCAGCTGTACTTCATTTGAAATTTCAACTTTTGAAATAGGGACAATGGTAAAAACTTCAACATCATTGTCAAGTAGAGTCGGAAATGAAGTAGCCACAGAATTAGGGATACTTACTCTTTCCCTAACTATAATTATCAACATGTGGACAGAGGTTTCGGAACTTATTTTAGGTATTGAAAGTGGTGCCAATGTTAAAAAAGGAAATTTGAAGTGTTCACCCTTATAAAAGAAGAAGTAGCAGTCGTTGTGGTTTGTTCCACATCAGAATCACAAAGAAAAGTGTTAAAAACGCACTTGACTGACTATAAAAGAAGTTGCCTTTATGTCAAAAACAGATAATTCGGCAGTTGCAGAACATACTCTCTTAGAAGGTAGCCCTGAAATTGCCTTCGAACGAATGATAAAACCAGAGGTACTATCTGAGGCTATTCAGAGAGTCCATTGAAATAAATAAACACAAAAATCATTTCAACCACAGGGAAAAGAGCTTGAATTGTCAAGAAGTCATGGATACCGGCACTACATAACACAAAGATTCTCCCAATAATTGAAGAAGGGTGACACCAATCAGGTACAAGATCAGTTGGTCATCTGACACCTAGTCCCATTATATGTACAAACACATCAGGACTATTTTCATTTTGCATATCGCAACAAGATAGCACACTTCGACTATCGCCTTAGATAATGTATGCTACAGTAACAGACAAAAGGTGAAGTATAAAAACCTACAGATTACGGCTAACAGACCAGGAAACATTGAACAATTTGTTAGACACCAGCCATGGTAGCTTACTAACCATGACACGTTTTGTATCACAAGTTTTGAGACATTATAATCATCATTATTATTATGAAATATTGGCGCAAAACTTTCAGACTGTTGAATTCAAAGCACTTGCATGAATGCTTCCGACTCGAAACCTAAGATGTAAAATAGCCACAAAAATCCTCTTTAATTGTTACAGGATTATATTTGTATTTTTAAGTGACATTCATAATTTCATCTACATTAGGTTGTTCTTGCTATAAATGTAATCATCAAAGTTATCAAAGTTAGATAAAATCTTCTACAGTATTCTTGAGAGTAAAATACATTCATTATTGCCTTTGATAATTGATATTCATGCTGCTCCATTCGAGGCACTTTAAAATCAACTGTAATTAATATCTATTTTCTGATTTAACCAAATTTTGCCAATGGCAAACAAATAGGTTCCTTTACTCTTATAAAACAATGACAAAGCTAATGAACCTGGTCAAGCCTTTAGATACATATGAAATAGATACTTTCAACCCGCTACTTTGAAGCTTGAAAGAAAAACACTGGTGCATATTAGAATGAAGAAATCATGTATGTTTGTTGAAATTTTCTACAAACTAATTCAAATAGTAATCAAATATAGATTGCAAATAATGCATTACAATCGATACCAATACATAATAAACTACGGATGTTTTAATTTTATTATATAAAATAACTTCAAAGCAGTGAAACCTCTGTGAATGGCGAGAATAAGCATGTGCATCCGTGGACAGCATTGCCGCCTAACTTTGAAAATCACTGATATCACTTGGCATTCATCAATATATCAATTTATGATTACAAAATAATATTCGGACTTAAATATCACCAGAAAACATACAATAACTACAGGCTGGTTAAGTGTAAATGTTTAATTTTTACCTGTTTTCCCTTTCATCATACTCGCTGCGACCGGCCATGTTTCACATTAAAGGGCCTGCGCACTGAATCCGAGTCCTACAATTCACAAAACGTCTGCTAACGATAACAACGTCATTCCATAGTTTTATCATACAAAAATTTATATTGTTTTTGTAAGGACAATAATAAATGTGATTTGCAAAATAGATATAAATGATATGGGATCCTTTAATTGTCTGACAATAATCAACTTGTGATTTTGAAAACAAAAAATAATTTATTTATCATAACATTCTGCCAACCTTGACTCGGTCGGTAGACCGAATTTCACTCGAAACATATAAGGCATTTTATGTTATAATATTGGCTACTCTTGCTGTTGAATATAATAAATCATGAAATATATTAAAACACCTAAAAATCGTTTATTGCAATCAATCAATTACACCTACTACGAAACCGAACTTTTAATATTTGCCTTGAATAAAGGTAGCTAACAATAAAATACAAAATGCCTCATCTTTTGTCAAGTGAAATGCGGTTTATAGACTGTATGAAAAGAAAATTTGTTATTAGTATGGTAGCCAACTGTACAACACGAAATGCCTCTTTTTGACAAGAGAAATATGGATTTGTTATATTATCCATCTTGATTTTGTTCAGGTTGAAGCCTGGCTCCCGATTTGTTATGTGAAAATTTGTTTAATTCATGCAATGATTCCCTCATTGGATTCATGTGAAAGACAGTATTCAACTGAAAATATACATTTCATATATTTCATTTATTCGTAAGAGTTTTTCATTCTAATCTTGCCGTTTGTATAATTTTCTGTTTGTCATTAATGAAAAATAATTTGTAACGTAGAGGATCTGTAAATTAATGCCAATGACTCAATTTCGTCACGGCCTTTATAGAAAATAAGGAATAAAAGAATTCGATGAATGTATTCAAATGATTCAACACGGAACATAGTAATATAGCACAAGTGATGAAAAAAATAAGTAGACTAAGGTAGGTAATCATAATGAAGGAGAAAGAATTGAAACTTTCTATGTTTTTTACCACTTTCATTTGTACTAACGTTACTGCAGTTTCATCCTATAAGGACATTTTCAAACTCATACAATTAACAGCTATTTAAGTTTCTGGCACTTGGATGTTTGATTTTGGCTTCGTTTTAATAATTTTAGATTTAATTTATGTGATTTTGGCAAATAAATCACGTGTTAATTAAAATGTCTACGAATTGATCAGAATGAACATTTCACTCCGAATGAATACGAGTTGACAAAAAATCCACCTGAGAAAAAATGAGTATGAAATTTTAAAAAATATAGGAACACTAATTTGAAAATAAAACAAATTATTGTGACTTGAAATGAAATCATATGGATGGAATAATAAATTTAGGCCAAGAATATGTAAATAATAAAAATGAAGATGAATCAGTTGGATTTGAAATATTTATTCTCATTCATGAAAAAACCAAAAGAGCTGACCTCACGCTCCTCAGCACCCTCTCACGCCAAGAATGTTCGTGGTTGCATTCATCGTTTATAATTATAGTACAGTTTGTGACACACTGTATTCCGTAGTTACATTGTTACCTATTGTATTTTCTTCATTTTCCCATTTTTTTTTCTAGTTTCTAGCCTTCATATCACCTTTTCTTTTCTAGTTTCATTTAATTTTTCCATAAAAGGTACTTCTGACAAGCTTTCTAAACTTTTTTGGAGTTTCAGTAAGTTCTTTCTGTGTAGATTGAGAACATTTTTCCTTCTCTGAACGGCAACTCAGATTTCTGATCTTTCCATGAAGGCATGGAATATTTTCAAAATATATTTCCAAGCAGGCATGGAATTATGTTTTTAAATATCTTTCTATGCAGGCACGGAATGATTTTTTAAATTATATTTCCATGCAGACACTGTGGTGGTATAAAAAAAAAGTTAGGAATACATTTTTGGAGCTGTACAGACTAATTGAATCTTTATAAATTTAAAAGAATTATGATTTACAAAAATAACGAACGTTGTTTGGGTAAAATATATCAGGTAATTTTAATCTGATGGAAACGTTCTACTAATTTTATTTTTACTATATATATAAAATTCATTTCTCCCAACTACCTGCACGGTAGGTACAGGTAAATGCATGCTGGAAAACAACTACTTCCCCGGCTAATACGTCACTGAATATTGAATTATATCCGACAGACATTTATGGAAGATTCCTCACCGAGATTAGTCTCTTAGATGTTTCTCGTTCTTCCAGCAACAGGACCAACCATGCTTAAATCGGTCGAGTAGATCACCTAGAGACTGGTATCGGAATATTACCTCTAATCAGTGCAAGAAAGATCCGACCCAAACAGCAAAATGTCCTTCCTCCAAGAGAAATAACAACTCCATCTCGTGAACAAAGTCCCAAGTGGAAAAGAAAGATCCCATGTACCAATACTGAAACAGTGTCTGTACAAGGGATGTTCCTATCCTACTACTACTAGTTAACAATCTTTGTCTTACATGAAGGTTTCATAAATGCCGTTAAGCTGTGTTGAAATTAATCGAGTCCCAGTCACTTTGCTATTTGGGTCGGATCTTTGATGCACTGATGAGAGGTATTACCTCGAAACCAGTCTGTAGGTGATCCACCCGTATAATATCAAGATGATACTGCTACTGGACGAATGAGAAACAACTACGATACAAACCTCTGTGCATAAATGTCTGTCGGATATATTTCAATATCCAGCGTGGTATTAGCCGGGAAAGTATTTGCTTTCCGGCAGGCATTTACCAGTATATACGATGTAGATAGTTGGGAGAGATGAATACTTCGAGATTTTATTTCATTTATTTCAACTCAGTTAAACAAAAGTATCTGTTGAGCTTATTCACAAAATTTTGAATTAGGATAACGATGTTATATTCCGTTCTCAAATTACCCCCACATGTAAGCAGTATTAGATGCGATACAATCAAGGGGAAATTATTTAGTTCATTTCAATAAGGAGCATATAAAGAAACTAATGGCCATTTATAACTTTTATTAACTTATTTTTACAACTTTTTTCTTGGCTCCAATCCCATCATCTTTATCTAGCTTCTTTTTCTTTTGTGATTTTTGTTTGTACTGCCCATTGGGTAAATCATCTGCTTCTTTGTCTACTTTCCTTTTTTTAGTATTACTTGTCTTTTCACTACTGTCACTTTCTTCCTCTATACCATTTTCCGGATTTTTACTGGATTCTAAAACAACATCCGAAGGTATAGCATAGGTGTCTACTGATTCCATATCTATTTCTGCCCCAGCTTTGAAGTCTACCCCTCCGAATCCTTCAGACAAACTTTTCAGCCTCAATTCCTTGGCCTCTTTCTTCAATCTCAGTTTTTCTTTATTTTTAGACTTTCTTTTCTTCTTTTCAACGTTTTTCTCTTCATCATTATCATCGGCATCACTTGTGACAACTTTTGCCGAACTGATAGATCTAGGCTTCATCTTCACAACATTAGACACACCTAAACGATGGCAAAGCCTGTTGAAACAAGCTTTTGAATCCTTGGAGAGAGTTACCGTGCTTCTATATTCCCTTACATTTTCTGCAATTTCTTGCCACCGAATATTATCAACATTCAAACAAGTGGATTTTATTGTAGCTAATAAATCGAACAAGTTACAAACGAATTTCTCTTTTGTATTCTCTGCTTCGGCGTTCTCGGAGAGCTTTCTAAACAAGTTTAAAACATTTTCAGAAAACGTTGAATGATCTTCCGACAGAATTTCTATTACTTTATCTGAATTAGAACTCAGATATCTTTGATTTGTATAAAATAATTTCAGTAGTTCGAACACTTGATTTTTCTTGAAGGGCTTGATATTCTTATCAAAAATATACTGTAAAAGTAAAGACACCAGCCCAAGGGAACCATCCCAGGACTGCCGAAGAATATTTTTGAAGAGTATCAGTGGAGTGAAACAATCTCTTTGATGCATGTATATTTCCAATTCTTTTGTTATCGTTTCCTGTATGGAAGACTTCAATCGTTTCTTAATCTTCTTAGGGGTACCTTCTGAAGAAAGTAAAATATTTGAACAACGAATGATAAAAAGGCAACAATCTGCTATCTGTGAACCCATATCTTGAACAATCCAAGCAGTTTTACTGCCCTTGTCTAACAAACTTTTCAGTAGGTCATGCAGAACAGTTTCATTTACCCCGTCGGTATCACTGAACTTTTTCAAATTTGTCAGTTTCTTCAAGCATGATTTCAACCTTGTCATTAGAGCTTTCTGATGTTCATCTCTTATGCAGAATTCTACAGATTGCAAAAGAGGCAGCATTATTTCAAGTGAAATGAGCATGGAGGGAGTAGACTCTACATAAATTTCAACCAAGTCTAATACCCTTATTCTGAAGTGAGTTAAAGTTTCCTCATCTTTGGTTTGCTTCTTACGTCTACCGTGGTTGGGTTTGAACTGCCTGAAAGCATCTGCTAAAGCTTTGTCAAGCTTTTCACCTTCAGTTTCGCTCATTTGATCAATGTCAATGCTTTCTTCATCAGATTTGTAACCATTACTTATCAGCACCTTATGAAGAGCCATGCGCAGTTTATCATTGACAGTTTCATCATTAGCATCTTCATCGTCGTCGTCGTCATCATCATCATCGTCTTCTTCAGAATGTTCTTCCTTTGTTTCATTTTCAGAGTCATCATCTTCTTCACTGCTACTTTCCTCAGTGTCTTTTGACAATGGATTATCTTCGTTCTTCGGATCCATGACCGAAAGTAGTTGGTGAATTGTTGACGGCGTCATATATTGACACAAATGAGGGAAAACTGTCTTGATTATGCTTCTTAATAAATGAGAGTTGTGAGAAAGCAGATTCAAAATCAAATCAATAACCACTTCTATCCACAACAGATCACTGTTATCATTAGAATGATCTTCAACTGTATCGTCAAAGTTTTGGGAGATATCTCTATTCTTTTTTGTTTTTTGGTAGCAAATGAATAGCTCGTTGAGGGAATCTGTGGCTAATTTAGGTTCATTGAATAACTGAAGACCCATATGAAGAAATAAAGTAAGAAACACAGATTTAAGGCCCACTTTTTTCTTCTTTTGGAGTTTATTGAATATTTTTGTTATGATTTGAAATGTTTCTTTCCAAATATTGTGCTGTTCTTCTGTGAGAGGGTTTCTCAAAATAGTTCCTAGGTCTTCTGTACTTAGTTTGGAATCTAAATGTTGGACAAGTTGGATCAGAATGGCATGTAAATCTTCCAGTTTTGTCAGCTTCAAATCTAAGGAACCGAAGAATGCTGTTTTCAAGGAGGCTGGAAGAAATATTAGCTCAATAATACTACTTCAATTTCTCAAATCAATTCATAAAAAGTATTATTTTCAAGCAAACCACTTTAAATATAATAGAATTCCGCAACTGTCGGTCTCAGAATTTTATCAAATCATCATACACTCAAATTATTTGCAAAATTTGGAAAATATATAAATGCTCACATTTTAATTGATTTGTTCAGAAAGGATACAATCCTTCAATAACAGAAATATGAAAACTTGGCAATAGAAAATACAAAAATTAGTTGAACTGATAGTGCAACAAAATATTGAAAATCAGAGATTTGTTGAAAAAAAAAACAAATGAAACAGAAAAACCATTATAGTGGAATACAGTAGAAAAAAATGGAGGGAAGCAATATTTAAAAAAAATGTATGAATATACGGAAAATTAATTTAGGAATTAAGGAAGCAAAATGAACATCTCTTTGGGAAAAAAGTTATATAAAAATACAGAGAAACTATTTTTTGGACAGCTAAAACAATCATGAAGACCATAAAAGGAGATAGACCATAGAAAGATTTGATAATGGATATATGCAGACAAGAACTTGAAGAACTAGTAAAAGTTCTGAAGATATTAAGGAATTTGAACATTTAAAGCATCAGGATCTTATTGAGACCTAGGTACAAATACAAAGTATTTGTAACTATGAAGTTTTAATATTCATTTTTCATGATGATCTCCTACCATGTAGTAACGGCGACATCTATCAATTTATTTCATATTTTAATTTTAGATGTTACGGATCAAATTGAAAAAAAAAATTACCTGCTAATTCAGAACCTATATGTGTTCCATTCTCGTTTCTCAACAACCCTAAATTCATGAGATAAGAGAGTTGTTCCACTTTCCAATCATTTTCTTCTTTTACGACAGTATGATTCAAAAGTTTGATCAATAAATGAGCTGCATACAGTTTATCATTATTTAGCCAATCTTCACCATGTCCATATTGACTGTCAATGATTTCAGTACCATCAATTACTCCTCGATAGAGTTCTGCTAATTTTTTTACCCCTTTATTATTCAAATTGAGGGTGACAAGTTGAATGAGCTTACTTTTGGTGATTTTTTCAAATATAAATGTTCCAGGGGAGAGAAGGAGCTTCCTCAGAACAGTAATTTTTGTTTTAGATTTGACATTATCACATTTTAATGAAGCGAGCAACTGGTCAAAGAAGTTTTGCATTATTTGTTGAAATTCAGGGTCCTGATTTTTACCTCTGAGAGTCTTATAAAAGTTCAGAGTTTGCTGTACGAAATTTTTGGTCAGGAAAACGGGTATGACTGAGGGGTTTTTCAACTTTTGCAATACCAACGTAAAAATGTGGGCTACAAGCAGCTGTTTATTTCTATTAGGATAATCTAAGTGCTTATCAAGTTCTTCCACGAAATCAGACAGTAGAACAGAGTCAGCTATTTCTTCTGCTACAAGTTCATAAACAAAATGCTGCATCGATGCCAATCTTAGTATAGACTGAAATGAAATATTCAATGTTATTATAACTTACTTCAAAATAATAAAATTATTAAGAGAAGAATTACTAACAATAACCTACCATCAACACTAAACACAGATTTCCAATATTCTCTGGGCAAATAATTTCATGGGTACCAATGACTTTTTTCAAAAACATTTCATTTATGATATTCGGACACTTATTTTTGATACTGTAAAGCATATAAAGTGTGTCCAGATTTTGTTCAGACCAGGGCTTGGCAATTTCATTTTCTAGAATCGGCAGTATCTTCTGAAAGCCTCTTTCATCAACCTGAAAATATTATAATACATATCCCATATTTATAGATAATTTGAGATGGCCGCAAGTGACAACAATACTTTTGATAAACTGAAGAAAATATGAAAATATTATAAATAAATGCTATTTCCGGACTAGTGTGTATGGAATGTGATGCAGTTTACCATAATGCTTGTGGAGATAGAGCAAAGATTTGCTGTGATGATAAACTTGAAGAAAAATACCTGATGACAGATGAAGTTTACTTGGCTAACAAAAATTTTGTTGCTCAAGCAAATAATTGCAGATAAAACCATCATCTTTAAGGATAAAGAGTCACTGGTTGAATCACTTTATTAAATCAAAAAATATTACTCCTTGAAGAAAAACTCAAGTTATATATGGCACAAATTCAGGTCATCAACAATCTTAAATTTCTATAAAGATGCATTCAGCGATAATGTTGAATAAAAAAATCAATGTTCCAAAAACAAATAAAAACAATCAATTCATGAACAAAAATAAACTTTGACATGTCAACTTGACAGAGTCACATGGCAAAGTTCTCAGAACGTGTATCAAGAGTATCTATCGTAAGTTTAATATTTATGACAAAATATTTTACATAGGAAAGGGGTTCAACTGGTTACACCACCGATTGATTAAATACTTCTTGTTATAGCTGTTTATTTAGCACATGTAATTCTTGTTATTTCACTGACGCCAGTTGAAACTTCACTGAAGTTATTTTGAAAAAGGAAATTCAAACAAGCTGGAATAACAATCACATATTACTGGTACAAGGAAATGGGTAAGATTTCAGATATTTGTAACTCACCTTGTCTAGTGCTGCTATTGCAAATTGATAAGCAAGTATTTTTAGATACGATCGTTCCCTAGAGGATTTCATTAAACATTCAAATACTTTGAATTTGTCTTGGAACGAACTTCTTTCCCAAAGATTTGATCTGATAATGGCCCCACATGCCAATATTTGTCCTGAAGAAATATCCGCATTTTCCTACAAATAAAAGGTAAATCCTACTTCGTATATAAAATAGTCATGAACTTACTGATTTACTATTACTACCCGACTTATTTAAGTGTTTCAGAATGTGTTCAAACAAAACATCCACTGTTATTTCATTTTTGATATTCAAAAGTGCCACTAATGCCGTATAAAACCCCGTCCTTGCATTACTAGTAGAGGCCCCTAATCCTCTGATTATTCTTCCACATGCATATTTCACTTCATCGTCCTAAAAAAGAAAATAAATTACCATGCTTCAGGAGTGTTGAATAACCTCACTTTTACAGAATCCCCATCTCCGGACAAATGTCTGAGAAGATTTATGATTCCTTTGAAACGCACTGCCTCTTGTTGATGCGTTAAATAAGTAAAATTATCAATAACCGTCCTATTTAACGCCTTTTTCACTTTTTCAAGGCTTTCACCGTTTACCTCGACCATTTTTACCTCAATGTCTAAAAATTTTAACAAAACATAACCAATAACCTCTCTCTCTCTCTTCTTTATTGGCCGATGCTTCATAACCAATAACCTTTAAGGTTTACCTTGTATTCTTCTTCCTCGTTTGTATGGCCACGGATTTAAGACCATCAATAAAGACCGTCCGTCATCCAATATATGGACTAGTTCTTAAATCCTACAGAAAAATTCTGATGTATAGCTACGGCTTATAAAAAACGATAACGAATATGTTTTACTGTATCTCAAATCATCTGATTGAGCTGTTTTATTTCATTAATATATTAAAAAAAAACTACTTCCTGAAGAAACAAACTTGAATGTGAATTTTGACATAAAAAATGTAAATTTACATTTCTCAATGGTATTTATATATTTTAGAAACCTATTCATGTTCATCCCAGTAACGGCTCAAAAAAATGCCGATAACCGTTGTATCGCTGAAAAAGTGCCGATGAAATAAGGTTTTCTGGGAGGTTAGCTTTTTTCATAGTTCTTGACTTAATTTCTGATTTCCTTGCAGTTTCTTCTAAATTGGGCTCTTGATTAAGCTGCCGCTGTCAAAATCAAAGAGACCCAATAAATTACCAGTCACAAAATTTTTATAAACAAAAACATTGCAGTGCAATCAGAAACATTGCATTTTTGATCTTCCGTAAGGAAAGTATACCCAAAGGGATGCATCTTCAAATCCACATCACAAATAGAGTAAGTAATTTGTGATCCACATTTAAAGACGTAAAAAGTCCTCCTTGTTAACTTTCGAATGGAACTAGATATCAAACTACGCAACGAATTTTGATACGAGTTTTTTTCAATAGAGTATACAACATGTATAACATAGTGGAGGAACACTGATAATTTTTAGGGGTTTCTAATGTGATGTCATAAATAAAAATTTTTTCGCGCTTAAATTGCTAACTCTGGCTGAACCCTACGAAAAAGTCCACAATCTAGGATAACCTATAAAAACCATTTTTTATTTTCGAGTAATAATGGCTTATAACAAAGTAATTTCAAGCAATCGGCCAGTCGCTAGCCAGGCGTTCGATGTGGGTGCTTTGTTCACTCACTCGAATTCAGTTTCGACTTCTAAGAGTTGTCGTTCGTAGGGGTGCGACAACTGGTTAACGGAAAAACAGATTTTTTTTAAGAAAAGAGAAGTGAAACTTTCTATGTTTTCTACCACTTTTATTTGTAACTAACGTTACTGCAGTTTCGTCCTATACGGACATTTTCAAACTTATATAATCAACTTTTTGTGAAGGATATATCCCCAAGAGGACTTGGATGTGTCCCTTGCAAGAAACAAGTCCAAAAATTTGAAAACAATTATTATGATTTCATTTGAGTCATCCCCCGTTTTTACTACGTACTGTTTCATGTATTTACTGTGCCATGTGTTCAAACTCTACAAGTGTTCTTATATCCTTCAGATTTAATGGTTCATTAAAACTTCATATTCATAAATTAATCTTTTGTAAGTACTACTTTCCATTTTTTTGCAATGATTTATATAATATCTCAATGTACTATATGTTATATTCTCTAGGGAATGGTGTCTGATGTGGAGACGAGATCAGCTAGTTTAAGCTCACAGCAACGCTAAGATTAAAATGAGGGATCTAGATTTATACCCAGACCAAACAGAAAACGGCACAAAATGGAGGCATTCAGACCACCTAACCCTTTAACAGAATATGATAAAAAAAACTGGTCAGTATGTAAACAGAAATTTGATATTTATTCACGAGCAGCAAATAAAAAGAGTGTTGATGAAGATACCAAAATAGCGATTTTATTGAACTCACTAGGTGATGAAGGACTTGATAGTTTCAATACAATACCATCAGAGCAAACGAAAACCTTAGCAGATGTCTTGAAAGCATATGATGAGTATTTCATTCCAAAGAAAGTTATACCAATGGAAACATTCAAGTTCAATAACCTTCTTCCATCAGATACATAAACGATAGAGCAATATCTTACAGAACTAAGAACTCAAGCTAAGTTGTGCAGTTTTATATGTGAAAAGGAGTATTGCAAAACCAGTTACAAAGAACGTATGATAAGGGATAGATTAATCCTAGGCATAAATGAAAAACAGATCCAAGCTAGGCTGATAAGGGAGCCAGATATAACTACTGCAAAAATTGTAGACTACTGTGTCGATAGCCTTCAGTAAACAACATTCAAAAACATTGAATCCAGAAGAAGAAGTTCATGCCCTGAGGAAGGATGTGAAAACCTTCCAGCCAGAGAGAAAAATTTGTCCAGCCTATGGAACGACATGTGCATCCTGTCAAGGAATAGGACATTTTGCCAAAGCATGTTTCAGAAATAAAATGATGAAAAAACTGATGAAGATTTTAACACCACACCTGACACCATGTTAGATTCCCTAGAGAATATAACACTATACAGTTCCTGAAGAAGAGCCAATAATGCCTCGAAAGCTTGAACAGAAAAATAGCTAGCAATATATATATAACCTGCCCAGTACTGATGATGCCCAACAGGCTGAAACAGCTGTCTACTGGTGACTCTTAAATTGAAATCAAATTGGAAAAGATCAGAATAGTACTAATCTTTATCTTTTGATTTCAATAGAATTATTTTCCAGCAGCTTGACTACATTACCCTTTCTTGATTTATATATGTAGTTTCTCACAGTCAAAGTATAATGAGCCGTTTTTCCAGGTTTCACTCCGTGTTCTGTGTTTTTGATCTTCAAGTATTATTTTCTGGAGTTTAGAACCTGAGGATGTTTTTTAGAGAAATTCTTGAATCAAAATCGGAAAGGACTCCGCCCTTTCGATTAAAATAATGGCAGGTTTATTTTTAATTAATTAAACCAAAATTAATGAGTCAAGATAGTGTTTTCTTCTGTTTGTGTATAATGTGTACATTTTAACGATAAATAAATTCTATTCAGTATTACTGGGGAATTCCATACTTTTTCAAACCAGTTCTTATTTTTATACTGATACTGAAAGCTGTTTCTCTAGATAATGAATAAAGACTAGTTGCGGTACTGCAAATAGTTATGATGCTCCTTAGGTGGCTTGGAGAGTTATCAACATAACCTACTGGGAACGGGCTATTGACTACAGTAGTTGATGCTGATGACACAAAAAAAATAGTAGTTATCAACCCTAGAATATTTCAATGTATGCCGCTTCATTTTTTTTATTGAAAGAATAAATTAAATAAATCGGATTATATTATCTGTATTTCTATAACAGTAAAATAAATTATAACATCATAATTTGCCAGTTTTCCTTTATCATTAGTATCACATTTTTACATTTCATCATTAGAGATAGACTCTAAAAACTTGTGATAGCTCACTCATGACTTGTAAAACAATAATTCAATATTTTAAAATGCAAATATTTTGACGTTCTATTGACAAAAATAATTTCTAATATACAACAAATAAGCATGAACTGTCATTAAAACCATTAGTCATCTGCACATGGTCGGATTACTTCTGGTGAATTATCTAATAGGAGTCCTATCGTCAGCTACTGGCCTCTTTAGAAAGTTGCCTGCCTGGTTTGTTATTGACATATACTTTATCATAGTCTGTCTCTTTGAAATACAACATAAACATGAAAGATATTCCTAGAAACACTAGAAGCATATTTTCAATTTTCGTATGTTCCTTCTCTTTTTCACGTCTGATTATATACTCTCTTGTTCGGTTCTTATTTTCCATTTGACGTCTAAAGGTTGCCCCATAATGAGATTTAGACCACTCGTCAAAATCATAGATTGGTATCCCACTGGAGGGGGGAGGGGGTCTTGATCTGGTTTCTCTGGATTTGTAAAATTTGTCAACATCCTCTTCAGTTGCTGAAGGAGTAGAACGGAAATACAGACCTGGAAATGATGTATTCATATTCAAAGTACTTTTACTGAAAGTAATATAATTTTGGTTAGTAATAGTTGATGAAGATTACTTTTGTGAAAATTGAATGGGGTATAATTTTAGGAGAAATAAACTTTTGGGAATGGAAGGTTTTAACTTTCCACTTCTCCATCTTCATACAAAAATGTAGGAAAAAAGCAATTACTTCCAAAATGAATTCTGTACAAAAATGTGTAGATCATGCATATAAGTTACTTTCAGATACAAACTGGGACAAGAAGCCTTCTCGAGACAACTACATCTTACCTTTGTCATATAATTTTCTTGTTTTAATGTTTCCTAAAACTTCATATGCTTCTGTGATATCTCTAAACTTTTGAGCAGATTGGGCATTTGAATCTTGGTTTTTGTCGGGATGGTAAACCATAGATAATTTGTAATATGCTGACTTTATCTCACCTTGTGTAGACGAAGGAGTTATACCAAGAGATTTATAGTGGTCTTTTGGTTTTACACTGGACATTAGCCGTATTTGGTTACGAATTTTTAAATTAAATATTTTTTTCATTATGAAGTTGGTTTTTAGTCCAGTGTCCTTTACCTACTCAAGAAATTGTTTGATGAAATTTTACATATTACCTGTTGGTCTTTGATGTGAAATGAAATAATATTACTCTTGAAAATATTTGAAAGGAAAATGTTAACTTTCTAAATGTTTTTGTGACATAATTCTATTTCTTCTTCTACTTTTTCTATTATTTTTGCATTATTTTAAAGAAATTACCCATTACCCAGTCTTCTCCAGTTTTGTATATTTTCCAGGAGTGGTTGTAGAGTATTCCTATTTTTTATGTGATGCGACCAGTGGGGCTATTCTCGAATCAGTCGTAGTTCGGCGATCGTTCGTACGAACGATCCCTTTAAAATCAGTATTATTGGAGTTTATTTTTCATTATTCTCAGGAATTCAAACATATTAATCGCAGAAATCAAAATGTTCCTAAACTCACTTAGAGAGTGGGTTGAGTTTCAAATATTGAAAACTGAAAATATTACACTTTTTTATGGTTGCGTGCATTAATACCAATCAAGTATATCTTTGTAGAAATATTTCTTCTTTGGGCACGAGTACCTACAATTATTTAAGTTGGAGGTATAAATTGAGTTCTCGAGTCTAACAGAAAATTCTTGTATGCTTCAGCCAATGAAAACGCGCCAACGTTACTAATGGAGCAATAGATGAATCCATCGAATCAATCGGTAGACTCATCGGCCATATGAAGAACTCGTTTATATAGTCAAACAAAACATCAAGTGTCAAGTCAAAAATATTATATTCATGGTAAATTGTGATGTAGTGTTGGGAACCTTTGGTGTAGTGATATAAATATAATGTATCTGTAGAGTAGGGAGGGTGAGTGTAAGCCCACGCACTTAGGCCACATGTGACCCATTGTACATCCTCCCGAGGAGTGGTCCTCCTAGGTCATCGTCCATCCTGTCCTTTCCAGGGAGGTGGACAGGTCGCTGGGAGACATCTCCTTATATATAAATATAATATTACTGGAGTTTTTTCCCAACATCAAACCGTTATTTTAACAGCTCGACACGTGTTTTGATCACCAAGTGATCATCTTCAAGAGGAAGATCAAACTGATTCATGGTATAATTCAGAATAGAAATAAGTATAAATGGAAGAGAGACAAAGACAGCGCAGAACCTGCACAAGAAAAAATCTCGTTTGATTTGTGCCAGAATGTAGGTTTATGTATATTAAATCAGAATTATTGTTGCAAATTGGTAGTAAACAAAATAGCTTGAAAGTGAAAACTTGCCCAATAACCACCCTGGCTATTCGTTGCCCCCAACCAGGAATACCACAAATATACGGATAACTTCAACAGAAAGGAAGAAGCTTTGAACTTCAACCGAATATGGAGTCCCATTCTAAGAAGTTCAAGATTAGCATACAGCATGACGGCAGGTAGAAAAAGGTCAACAAATGTTATTGACAAATTACCTAATCCACACTTGAGTTAACATAAATACGCTTTACCCAGCCATAATATCTAGTCATTGGATATAAACTCAGGATGTATAACCTCTGAAGAACCTAGCCACTCGCGCCAGTAAAATATCAGGATGAAATTCTAAAAATCGACAGCCTTCAAAACTGAAAAATACTGACACTGAAAACCTTGGCCACAAGAGAGAGAGAAAAACAAATTTAAAATTCGTGAAAATGCTCATTATTTGTCTCAGCAAAACTTTGAGAAACTCGCTCAGAACTAAGGCAGCTGCAATACCGAAAAATGACAAGAGAGGATACATGCACCTCATCTCACTGAAAATTTAAAATACACATTTTCAAACAACACTGATATTGATACCAAAACTGCTAACACCGAATTTTCCTTCGAAGAATATTTGTGAATGAAGTTCAACACTCTCTGAGGCACTGTAATTGGCGATTTCTGACCTTCTGCCGGAATCTTATAATAATCTCAATCAGATGAATTATGTTGAAAATATCTACAACTCTTGAAGTTCCCTATTTAAAAATATGACGAATATTGAAACAAAATTTATTACAACTATTAAATTACTATGTTTACATGATAATACCTAAATATACATTTTCAAGTTAATTTTTGAAAAATTCATTCTGTTAAAATTCATACTTCATTTTAACTTCAAACTTAACGGTAAAAAAACCACCCCCCTAACAATTTCAAATGGGGATGCGGTTGATGGCAACTTCTCAATATTTTTTAGTACAAAAAAATATAAAACAAATTAATTTGTGTTTTCTTGGCTTGTTGAACAGTTCTGCAGAAATTTGAGTCAATTTGAATTTATTTTTTTTTGTCTTTTGTTTTCAGTAGACGACTGTATTTATGCACGAGTTCTTACAGTTTTATCATAATCGGTTCGTAAAAAAAAATTTACAACAAATTATTTTTTTATCAATAGTGATTTTGAAAATAATTATTTCTAGGTGGAGGCATAGGCATATTCAAAGGACCTGTGGGATAAGGCACTGAAGGAGGTCCAATAGGATATGGTAGTGAACTTGGAGTATTTGTGGGAATACCAGGAAAATAGTTGGAATTGATGTTGACTGGGGGAGCATTTATGTAGTTAGGATTACCAAGTGATGGATCCCTCTGCAATAGTTTTGAAAGTTTTTCTGCTTTCACCAGACGCATATGCATAATCTTACGCTTCTCTAAAAATGTGTCTATGAATTCTTCAATTTCTGATTCGCTGTCCAAGAATTTTTTTGCAACTTTGTCAGATTCTTCTTCCATCTCACTGGCAGCAGTTTGAAGCAATGCTAACGCGGTTTCTAAGGACATATCACCACCTTTATCTCCTACAAAACAAAATTTATTTTTTTTGCAACAAGATGAATAGAAACCCTGGTGAAATTTCTTGAACACTTTTATAGGCATAAATCTTTGTTGAAAAAATCTGATATGTGTCTTATAGTTGAATTATTGATGAGTGAAGTTAAAATTATCAGTAGAATAGGCAAGAATACTAACAACGTGGATCCATGCGACCGAACTTAACTAATATTTAATTTGATGCAGATTTAGTAAATCACCTCAAAAATTAGTATTCATGCCTTGTATATTTTATTCCAACCCTGGCAAAAAATATTTAAAAAAGTTGAATTTCTCATGTCATTCTCATTCACTCATTGAGTGAAAGAAAATTTGGATTTTGAAAAGGTCAACAATGCCGTATTTTCATTTTCTGCAAACAAGTATAATAAATCTAACAATAGTGAGCTTGTTACCGCAATATTTCATGATTTGTCCAAATCTTTTGATTGAATGAATCATGAGATATTGCTAATGAAACTTATTCATTATGGATGATTCAAAGGTTCACATATAAATTGGTTTTAGTCGTATTTTGAAAATCGCAGACAACTTGTCATATACAAAAAATATTGTTTGTGGTGTACCATAAGGACCACTTGGACCAATTTTTATCCTGTTATACATTAATCCAGCACACCTGAATATATATAGGATATTTACACTTTTCGCCAATGACACCACACAGACCTGATTTTAAGTTACTGAAAAAATGGTTCAACACAAATCTACTACTGTTCAATTTAAAGAAAACTTACTGACTTTTCATGGTAATTTTGGTTCTTCATTTAAGTTGAGTAATGAAGAAATAAAAAACATGCAATTTGAAATTCCTGGGACTGAATATAGATAAAGATCTTAAACTCAACAACCATAGAGAACAGCTACACAAAAAAACCATCTTCTGCAGACTAGGCTGTGAGAAAGATTTCTAAGAAATGCTAAATCTGCCTATTATGCATTTTGCTATCTACCCTCTAAGCAACTTATGCAAGTTTTTTTAAGTAATATAAAAAAGAGTCATGCAAGGCTCTTTGCAACATAAACTAAAGAGATTCATGTTGACCAATATCATAAAGCAATGAAATATGGACTGTTCGTTTTGGAAATTACCTGCGTGGTTCATAGTAACCGAGAAAGATTTAACCATACCCCATATCTATGATAACTAAAAAATTTTCACATACATTTTTATATCTAGATGCGTTTCTCTAACATTGTAATTTCCTCATAGCTTTCTACCAAGGAAGCTACGATGTTAGCAAAACGCATCGAAAAATTTTGGTTGTCATTTTTGATAATCAATAATCAATTGACAGTGATCAATTGATTATTGCAACACTAAAAATGCCATTGAAGGATCTATAAAATAGTGTTTTTTTTAACAATATCTAATCAAGTCATTTCACCAGGGTTTTATCCATGTTGATTTATAAGCCAAGAAATGTTTACTCAATTCTTTGGTTTTTTCCTCAACACTTTTCGAAAGCTGTTCTCCCAATTCAGATAGTTCTTGTAGTTTTTCACGTCCTTCTACCAACTCAGGTTCTTTTGATAAGTTGAATTCAGCCATGGAATTATTACTGGCCAACATATTTTCCTTCTCATTTTCTATTTCTTTCAAGTATGACTAAAACACATGATGAATAATAGTAATATGTACTTCTAGATATATTGAAAGTATACCTGATCCAACTCTGAGAGGATTTTTTGAATTTTCTCTTCATCATTCATGATTCCATCCAATTCGTCATTATTCAGATGACCGAGTTTAGCTACTGCTCTTTTACAATCGGCCTGTAAAATTTCAATAGACATTTTAATATGACTAGTTATTGTTATTGTCCTTATTCCAAAGATAGAAAAAAAGGTTTTGACACGTGACAAATCAAATGTCATTACTTGCCTCCAACAGCTTCAAACCGATAAAGCCGCTTTACCGTTCACTTCTGACTGATAAACAGTAATTGTTGAATCTAGCCTCTATATAAAGTTAAAGCTCTTTTGTCTTAACTGAAAGATTACGCTATTTATTCTGAAAATTGGCAATTTTGATTTTTTTATCAGAAAACTAGCATATTTTAGACAAGAATATAATGAAATCAAATATATTGGTCAACTTTATTTTCAAATATAAAATTCTTACAATCCACTTTCATGTTTTCCAAAAGGTTTACAAAAGAAATTTCTCTTAACTTTTCCACTCGTTCCTCCAGAAACCACAGATTTCATATCAGTTTCATCGATGAGGTATACTATATTTTACACTTCTTCGATCAACAAGAAAAGATATTTATATGTATATCTGGCTTTCTTCAATTCATTAATTGAATACAGTTCGATACTGAATAATCAGGTATCTTTTTTTAAAACTTATTTAGAAGCAACAAGTAGATCCAGTTCGGAAACACTAAATATAATTATAATGAATGCATTCATCAGTTTCTGGGGAATATTTTCAATTTTTCTCATTTTGATCGACTCAGAATGAAATTGTTAGATCAAAATGTGCAAACGAACGAACTAGGTAGCCTACTAGGTCTGGCAACGCCACCTCGAGAATATGGCCAATCTGACACTGATATCGAAGATTAAAGCAACTGAGTTGTTTGTATCTGAATCCCTGCAACGACTGAAAAAGTAGTTTGCGGAACAATCTTCACGCACACCCAAATTTCTGCGACAAATTCAATGTAGAGACCACGATGTGGTTCAATTACGGTTATTAATTAGATTATTTCCGACTACTACAAATCCCGTCATTCGTAAATAGCCACAGAAACCTTATCCGTGAAATGGGATTGAAACACATTTTTTATCTGTATTTAGAGGTTCGTTTTTCATGTACTGATAATTGCAGGCAAGTTGCCATTATTCACGTAAAAATGGTTGTAAATTTTTCAGTAGATTTATTATTTGTTCATCTCATGGCAATGAGTACTTCAATTATAAACAATTAACGCATTGGTAGATGGCATTGTTGTGTATTGTATTGTACTAAGAATAACATTTCACATATTTCAATTATTTTAGAATGAACAATATAAATCTTACGTGATTAGATAAGATACTGTATGACCGAAGCACTGAATTATTTCATTGAAAGTGATAAATTTATGGTCAATAACTCGTTTTTCTCTTATTTACTGGAGCCAGGAATCTAGATTTACCTTGAATGGGTGACATTAGTGATGTTGCCACAGAATAGTACTTCTGTGACTGACATTATAGATGACATTTGTATAAGGTTATGTCAATATGTACGAGGAAAGTTTGAAAAATTATTACTAATGACGAGTAAAAATGAAAATATAGAGTCGAACAACCAAATTGAGCTAGCAGATTTCATAAAAAATGTTCATAAACAATTGCGAGAAAAATATAAATTGCTAGCCGAAGAAGCTTGGGAAAATCACTGTGCAGATGAAATCTGTTTGAAACAATATGCTGCAGCCATGAAAGAACTAGCAACAAATCACTGGGAAAAGAACTCTAAAGATGTAACAAGAATTATATGGACATATAATATTAGTAATGATTATTTTGCCAAAGATATTTTTAACCAGCGCACAAAAGAATTTGGTGTAGCTGAAAAAATTGATCTAAAGATTCAACCACATTCAGAAAAAGTAAAGACCAGTTTCAAATTATTGGATGTGGGTAGTTGTTATAACCCATTTAATCAGTTTGACTGTTTCGAGGTTGTAGCCATTGACATTGCACCAGCAGTAAGCGATGTTATTCATTGTGATTTTTTAAAATTGGAAGTTGGTGGAGAAACTACTTATTTTAATAACAAACTTGTAAAACTTCCAAATGACTACTTTGATATAATAGTTTTCAGTTTATTCCTAGAATATTTACCCAGTCCTTCACAAAGGAAAGTTTGTTGTGAAAAAGCTTACAGATTATTAAGTACTGAAGGAATACTGGTATTGATCACTCCAGACTCTAACCATATTGGATCCAATTCAAAAGTCATAAAGTCGTGGCAGTTTATTTTAGCCGAAATTGGATTTTCAAGAATTAAATATGAGAAATTATCACATTTACATTGCATGGCATTTCGAAAGGCTTTTAGTAAAAAAATAACTAGAAGATGGGCGGAGCTACATAGGAAAAAACAGGTATATGACCAAATATATATACCACAAGATTTCAGCACCACATTGAAATCTGTAACAACAGAAAAGATAACAAACAAATCTTCAACAACTAGGGAAATATTGAACTTCATTGAGGAACTTCCCTTTTGTGACTCCATAAGCTGACTTTATTCCAGTATAGATGTAATTTATGATTAAGCTTCTTCAATGTAAAATACAAACCAAATGGGGATAACAAAAATTTAAACTCATCAGAATGTGATTATGAACTATTTTCTTACAGGTAGGTGTTCATGAACCAGACATATATTGCATAATCATGCAAAATTTGTTACCTAAAATATATAGTTTCGTAATATATTGATCAGATTCTATGAAGTTTGTTGTTTGATGAAGTTTGATTACATAAAAAGCTTTCTGTGGTCAGCAGTATGATAATTTATAGTCCAGGTTCACCTGCCCAGTACTGATGATGCCCAACAGGCTGAAACAGCTGTCTACTGGTGACTCTTAAATTGAAATCAAATTGGAAAAGATCAGAATAGTACTAATCTTTATCTTTTGATTTCAATAGAATTATTTTCCAGCAGCTTGACTACATTACCCTTTCTTGATTTATATATGTAGTTTCTCACAGTCAAAGTATAATGAGCCGTTTTTCCAGGTTTCACTCCGTGTTCTGTGTTTTTGATCTTCAAGTATTATTTTCTGGAGTTTAGAACCTGAGGATGTTTTTTAGAGAAATTCTTGAATCAAAATCGGAAAGGACTCCGCCCTTTCGATTAAAATAATGGCAGGTTTATTTTTAATTAATTAAACCAAAATTAATGAGTCAAGATAGTGTTTTCTTCTGTTTGTGTATAATGTGTACATTTTAACGATAAATAAATTCTATTCAGTATTACTGGGGAATTCCATACTTTTTCAAACCAGTTCTTATTTTTATACTGATACTGAAAGCTGTTTCTCTAGATAATGAATAAAGACTAGTTGCGGTACTGCAAATAGTTATGATGCTCCTTAGGTGGCTTGGAGAGTTATCAACATAACCTACTGGGAACGGGCTATTGACTACAGTAGTTGATGCTGATGACACAAAAAAAATAGTAGTTATCAACCCTAGAATATTTCAATGTATGCCGCTTCATTTTTTTTATTGAAAGAATAAATTAAATAAATCGGATTATATTATCTGTATTTCTATAACAGTAAAATAAATTATAACATCATAATTTGCCAGTTTTCCTTTATCATTAGTATCACATTTTTACATTTCATCATTAGAGATAGACTCTAAAAACTTGTGATAGCTCACTCATGACTTGTAAAACAATAATTCAATATTTTAAAATGCAAATATTTTGACGTTCTATTGACAAAAATAATTTCTAATATACAACAAATAAGCATGAACTGTCATTAAAACCATTAGTCATCTGCACATGGTCGGATTACTTCTGGTGAATTATCTAATAGGAGTCCTATCGTCAGCTACTGGCCTCTTTAGAAAGTTGCCTGCCTGGTTTGTTATTGACATATACTTTATCATAGTCTGTCTCTTTGAAATACAACATAAACATGAAAGATATTCCTAGAAACACTAGAAGCATATTTTCAATTTTCGTATGTTCCTTCTCTTTTTCACGTCTGATTATATACTCTCTTGTTCGGTTCTTATTTTCCATTTGACGTCTAAAGGTTGCCCCATAATGAGATTTAGACCACTCGTCAAAATCATAGATTGGTATCCCACTGGAGGGGGGAGGGGGTCTTGATCTGGTTTCTCTGGATTTGTAAAATTTGTCAACATCCTCTTCAGTTGCTGAAGGAGTAGAACGGAAATACAGACCTGGAAATGATGTATTCATATTCAAAGTACTTTTACTGAAAGTAATATAATTTTGGTTAGTAATAGTTGATGAAGATTACTTTTGTGAAAATTGAATGGGGTATAATTTTAGGAGAAATAAACTTTTGGGAATGGAAGGTTTTAACTTTCCACTTCTCCATCTTCATACAAAAATGTAGGAAAAAAGCAATTACTTCCAAAATGAATTCTGTACAAAAATGTGTAGATCATGCATATAAGTTACTTTCAGATACAAACTGGGACAAGAAGCCTTCTCGAGACAACTACATCTTACCTTTGTCATATAATTTTCTTGTTTTAATGTTTCCTAAAACTTCATATGCTTCTGTGATATCTCTAAACTTTTGAGCAGATTGGGCATTTGAATCTTGGTTTTTGTCGGGATGGTAAACCATAGATAATTTGTAATATGCTGACTTTATCTCACCTTGTGTAGACGAAGGAGTTATACCAAGAGATTTATAGTGGTCTTTTGGTTTTACACTGGACATTAGCCGTATTTGGTTACGAATTTTTAAATTAAATATTTTTTTCATTATGAAGTTGGTTTTTAGTCCAGTGTCCTTTACCTACTCAAGAAATTGTTTGATGAAATTTTACATATTACCTGTTGGTCTTTGATGTGAAATGAAATAATATTACTCTTGAAAATATTTGAAAGGAAAATGTTAACTTTCTAAATGTTTTTGTGACATAATTCTATTTCTTCTTCTACTTTTTCTATTATTTTTGCATTATTTTAAAGAAATTACCCATTACCCAGTCTTCTCCAGTTTTGTATATTTTCCAGGAGTGGTTGTAGAGTATTCCTATTTTTTATGTGATGCGACCAGTGGGGCTATTCTCGAATCAGTCGTAGTTCGGCGATCGTTCGTACGAACGATCCCTTTAAAATCAGTATTATTGGAGTTTATTTTTCATTATTCTCAGGAATTCAAACATATTAATCGCAGAAATCAAAATGTTCCTAAACTCACTTAGAGAGTGGGTTGAGTTTCAAATATTGAAAACTGAAAATATTACACTTTTTTATGGTTGCGTGCATTAATACCAATCAAGTATATCTTTGTAGAAATATTTCTTCTTTGGGCACGAGTACCTACAATTATTTAAGTTGGAGGTATAAATTGAGTTCTCGAGTCTAACAGAAAATTCTTGTATGCTTCAGCCAATGAAAACGCGCCAACGTTACTAATGGAGCAATAGATGAATCCATCGAATCAATCGGTAGACTCATCGGCCATATGAAGAACTCGTTTATATAGTCAAACAAAACATCAAGTGTCAAGTCAAAAATATTATATTCATGGTAAATTGTGATGTAGTGTTGGGAACCTTTGGTGTAGTGATATAAATATAATGTATCTGTAGAGTAGGGAGGGTGAGTGTAAGCCCACGCACTTAGGCCACATGTGACCCATTGTACATCCTCCCGAGGAGTGGTCCTCCTAGGTCATCGTCCATCCTGTCCTTTCCAGGGAGGTGGACAGGTCGCTGGGAGACATCTCCTTATATATAAATATAATATTACTGGAGTTTTTTCCCAACATCAAACCGTTATTTTAACAGCTCGACACGTGTTTTGATCACCAAGTGATCATCTTCAAGAGGAAGATCAAACTGATTCATGGTATAATTCAGAATAGAAATAAGTATAAATGGAAGAGAGACAAAGACAGCGCAGAACCTGCACAAGAAAAAATCTCGTTTGATTTGTGCCAGAATGTAGGTTTATGTATATTAAATCAGAATTATTGTTGCAAATTGGTAGTAAACAAAATAGCTTGAAAGTGAAAACTTGCCCAATAACCACCCTGGCTAGTAACAATCAAATCAAAGAACTGCGAATGTTTTAAGGATACCTATATTTCCGGAATTGTTCGGTATGACGTCATCTGCACATACTGATCCACTAGTGATTCAAAAATAAAGGCGTCGTCACATCTTTAGTTTATTTTGTGTCAATCTATTCCAGAATTAGCCCAGACAAAATGGTAATATCTCATGAAGCTCATTTACTCATATTGCTAGTACACTCGCCCGAATTGGTGACTGGGCCCAGAGAACTATGAAGAGATTTGCACACGCATTACTAGTACCCGGTACGAAAGCAATCGGCCTAGTTCAGTTGTTCGTGAAAAGTGGTTTTGATGATATGGCAAACACACAAAAAATTATGGGGGAACAGACAAACAGGAAAAATGGGTTTGGGTTCGAAGGTGGATTGAACGTCGTTCAAATATGGGAGCTCTTCAAGTTCATTCTTGTCAGAACTCCGTGAGGAGGATCCTACAAGTTATAGAAATCATCTGGAAATACCACCTGAAAATTTAGATTTTCTCTAAAAAGAGTTAGTACTTATATTCCACAGACATATTGATGTTGTACATATAATTTAACAAATCTAAAAGTTTTTGCCACTCATTGTATTACATAAAATAAATTCAATAATAACGAATACCACAAACGCATACATTTTACTATCCTGTGCGAGTACTTGTTAACACTTGTCGATTACTCCTGTGATTACTCTTGTAGCTTATTATAGAGAGATATACAATTATAGAGAGTTGATTTTAAAAAGTTGGTTTTTTGTGCTTTGGTATCTCATGCTAATTATCGATGATCCATTCGCTGAAATTAATTTTAGTATTTTGCATCAGTATTTTGCAGACTTTTCAACCTATCTTACAAGAAAGGGTTTTTTTCTTCTTGTTAGAAGATTGCTCGCGTTCAGCCTATTCCCAAAAAGGGCAAGAAAAATCTTCCAAATAACTATAGACGAGTCGCTTTGCTATCAGTGATATCAAAAATCATGGAGAAGATCGTAAACTACTATATCCTCAAATATTTGAGCGATCACCAATATCGCTTTCGGGAACAAATATCAACAGGCGATCTTCTGTCGTATGTCACCTTTATTTAGAATAACGCAATTGAAAAACATTGAAAATCAAGAGCTGTTACGCTTGATATTCCTAAGGCCTTTGTCCGTGTGTGGCATGAGGGTTTGCTGGCCAAACTTCGTTGCTATTTTTTCAAGAACTATTATTTTTGTCTAAGAATGTTCCCTGCAAGTGGCCGTGGTTGGATATCTCTCGAATACTTTTTCCATCAACGCTTGTGTTCCCCAGGGATCCATATCGTCTCCAACCCTCTTTCTATTGTATATCAACAACTTATTGAAAAAAACTAAAAATCCAATATATTGCTTTGCTGACGATAGCACACTTGTCTCGTCATTCCATTTGGATTCCAGGATATCGGCTACGGAGGCATATATCTTCACCAGCAGCAGGAGGTTGCATATCTTAGTGAGGATCTAGAAGTGATTTTCAATTGGGGTGGAAGTAACCAGGTTCAATTCAATGACACAAAACTCAGGCATCGGTCTTCTCGAAGAAGATAAAAGTCGAAGATAAAAGTCGAAACGGATATAATAATTTAGGGTCAGACAATTCCGCTTTCTGCTTCGATTAGTTTGTTTGGAGTTGAAATGGACACCAATATGTCTTGGCATAATCATGTTGATGGAATTGGAAAGGCTGCTTCTCAAACGCTTAGAACACTGTTCCGAACAAAAAACTGTACACACATCAATAACTTTTGATGCTTCATAAAACTAAGATCAGACCTTCTTAGAGTATTGTTCTCATGCATGGAGCTCTGCCCCCAAACATACCCTGAAGATGGTGGATTCCATCCAGAAAAGAGCCATCCCACTGATTGGAGACGTGAACATCACGTGTAAACTTAATAGCCTGGAACATCGAAGAAAGGTTGGAGATTTTTCTCTCTTCTGTAGATACTTTCATGGGAGGTGTTTAAGTGTCTTGGCACATTTTGTTCCGCCAAGAGCGGTTCATGTCAGAAGTACGCGACGGACTGTGACTGCTCATCGGTTTGAGGTTTAACTCAGTACAACTCGAACTTCACAGACACCGCTCTGAGAGTACCTTAAGAATTTTCCTGTTGTGCTTGTGTTTTGCCTTTAAAAACTTCAACAATTTTCTCACAGGACCTTTGTCTGACTGTTTTAGTGTTGCAAATATAATTATAATCAGATGAGTTATTTTTTTTCAGTAAGCGCGTCCCGTTTCAACCAGTGTTTCAATGAATTTCGCTTCTATTTAGGCGCATTAAATGGCCACGCCTCTAATCAGAATAACCGGACGGCAAAATGTAAATTGTAACGGTATAGGGAAATGGAACGTGGTCCAAGTGTCATGGGTATTTTTTAGAATTATAGGTTAACTGGCCACATAGCCTTAGTTGCTGAGGCCATTGAATGGAAAAGATGAAGATGAAGAAGAATTTTAGGTTAAGTTGACCAATTACCTACCAGCTACCAGTCGAAGACGAGTAAAGCAATATTGAAATTAATTGTACAGTAAATGTTCAGCGAACAAAGCTAATTATCAAGCTTAATATCTTTATTCAGTGGAGGAGGTTGTGAATAGATTTTCTGAGTGATTGGTTCAGTTTGGTACTATTAAACAGCACATTTCCTTGACTTTAAGGTTAGCAATAGTTCAGTAAAAATTCGGGACCCCCTCTTACATTTTTTTTTGTCAGATGTCCTTCAGTAAAGCAAAGCGTCTGCTTCTTGGATTGGGTGCAGTGTCCGGGGTAGTGACTATTTGCTATTTGAAAAAGGAAAGAAATACTGTACACGCAGCATGGACTACAAATTACACTCCATCTGCCTTTGCTAAATGGGACGATAATTGGGATCAGTAAGTCAATATGATGAATTTTCATCATTGATACCTTTCTTTGCAAACTTTTTTATTTATTATTATTATAGTTTTTCATTTAAGAATAAATTGAAATTCATTGAAGAATAATCATTGGTATAGTGCAATCAGAGTTGCTATCTCAAATCAACTAGCAATTACTCTGGATCCTTGAAAATTACTTGCTGAATATGTCACAATAATAGTTCATGACAATAGATTTTTTATTGATTTATGAATTGAGAAGAGACAGGGCGAGACACACTAATTTAGGTGTCTCATTTTATTGAAGAAAATTTAAGTAGTACTTTGTAATTGGTCACATAGACTTGTATTGTTATAATATGGAATATGGAAAGTGCAAGTTCACAAAATTCAAATTTGAAATCAATGTCAATTACCATTTCCTCTTTATTACATGGAATAATACGTTTGCTTCTCATTTACAAAGATAGAATTATGTCAACTGCTATATAATGTTTAGTGTGTAATTCTTGTTCATTAAATAATTGATTGTTACAAATTCCTTGAAAATCACTATTACTCACAAATTACAGATAGGGTTGAAATTACAATTCCAGAAATTGCTGGTAGATTGGCGACGCTGAATGCAATAACAATATCTTAATATACTTATTTTCTCATGGATATAGCCAGAAAAATTCTTGATTTTTATAGAAACATTTTACTACATATAGGTACTTATTCACTGTTTTGCGCTATAACTTGAGTTACTGATAAGACATTAACATCTTTTTGATTTATTCAAGTCGATCTCCACACTCTATAACGAAACCACATAAAAAATTGAGTAATAAAGAAGAAAATAAAATTAATGAAGAAAAGGAATTGTCCATACCGAAGGCCTGTAGACATCTGATTCTTATAAGACATGGACAATACAATCTGAATGCACAAAAGGATGAAGACAGGTGTCTCACCAAATTAGGTATGTAATCCCAACGTAACTCCACTGCAATTGAATGTTTTTTGGTTATTTCTATTTTAATACCACCTTTTTCTTATCTCATTTTCAGGAAGACTTCAAGCTGAATATACAGGAAAAAGATTAAAAGAATTGAACTTTCCTTATACAAATATAGTTAAATCTACCATGTGCAGAGCGTCAGAAACTGGCAGCATCATATCAGAATTTATTCCAAATGTAAGTAAACATATATAAAAAGTGAATGAATTATGTGTCCATAATGAAAAAAACTTCGAGGTACCTATAATCTGTGTTTACTGAACGAATATCTCGATAATCGATCAAAAAACTATGTCAGTTTTCAAAACCTCAACATATGTTTAATAGTACACACCTGAAGAAGCTATTATATAGTGAAACACATGTTAGATTTTGTAAACTGTTACGTGAAAAACTCTCGATAAAGTATTACTCAATTACGTCGAATAAAAATTAAACTTCAAAATATCTGTTTTTTTTTTACAGTAATGGAGACTGTGAACAAATTTTGTGGATTTACTCAAACATTACTGAGTTCTTTCACATTATCTTGTATGGTATGATTAGGTTATGATGGGTTAGTTACTGATTGTTTTCGAAGATCTTATTAAATTATTAAGAGTACCACCCCCATTCTATGTTATGTACTTTACCAAATTAATGAGCATAACGAGGGTTTATATCCTCCCTCGATATTAAGTTCTGTATATATTTAAAGGTGATTGTTCTTTAGGTACCTGTGTCAAACTGTGACCTTTTAAGAGAGGGAGCACCTGTTCCTCCAGAACCCCCCATTGGAGGATGGAAACCGGAGAATTATGTAAGAATTTTTTTTTTCTGAAATTCAGTATATACCATTCTTTTTGAAAACAATTATTTTTTCTTATATTCAATAGAAAATTTTTAACTCACTTTTTTATTCAATAATATATTTACTTGCTTATTTTTAACGATTTATTTTTTATGTAAAACAAGAAGTATTACCAGGATGGATCAAGAATTGAAGCTGCATTTCGGAAATACTTCCATCGGGCAGAACCCAGTCAAGAAAATGATTCATACACATTACTTGTTTGTCATGCCAATGTGATTCGGTATTTTACTTGTCGGTAAGATAATAATGATTTATTTATTTATTGAGAGGAAAGTCATATCTATTTGCAAGTCTTGGCATTCTGTTGACCGGAGCATGAAATATATAATTAGTGTGAGAGATAGCTGTGTGAAAAGGTTGTAGATTTCTAGATCGTTTCTCAGAAATACTCGACCCAAACTTTCCTTAACCCTTTCAGACCCATAGTACGCTATAGTGTACATACTATTAATCAGTTATTATTATTATTATTTTGTTCACAATTTACGTTTTGGGACCGTGTGACATTTCTCATGTACATGTGTTTTGAAATACTGAGAAGACCAGCGACATCTAGTAGGTAGGGACTAAACTAATTTATAACTTGTTGAACATGGCCGACGATAAATTGGATTTGCCTGTTGAGTGATTATTCATTGTAGTTTTTTGCTGAAACTTTAAGTAATTTCATTTGAATTTTCGCACAATAAGTTACTTATTGATGAATATGTACTCTCAGATAAGTCTACGAGGCATGAAATAGTATATTTGATGTTCAAATCCACGTTTTGAATGAGTGTACAGTATCATGTACATTAGGTCCTCGTAACAACTTTTGTACATAGTACATTAGGTCTTGAATGAACGCTATGTTGACACTAAAATTTCACCTATTCAAGGTCCATCAAGGACACCTACACAAAAAAGACTGAGAAAAGAGCATTATAATCTGAATAATGGTACAGATATACAAGATCTATTAAAATATATTCAAGATGACACTTCAGATATAGATTTTTGGTCGGATTATAGCAGCGATGATGACTATGTTCCACAACAAACCAACAGAATTGGACAAAAAGAAATCGCTAAAAACGTATCATCAGAATCCTTCAACGAGTCTGAATCTGAAGAAGATCAACCAGAACTTGAAGAAACCATAAATGAGTCATCAACTCAAGCAAGTACCAAGAAGAAAAAAACAAAATCAACAATTGTTTGGATGCGAGAGGCAATTATTACTCCAGATACTACATTTTTACAAGATTCAAATAACTACAGTCCACCACAAAGTTTAGATTCGTCATTGCAGTATTTTTTACGATATATTCAAGAAATGGTTCAGTACACCAATATGTATGCTCTGCAAAAAGGAATACCTTCATTCAAGCTAACTAATTAACGTGAAATGAAAACTCTTATAGCACTTCATATTGCCATCGGTTCCCTTAACAAGTTTCCAAAACTCAGATTATATTGGGATACGACTCTTGGTATCAGTCTATTTCTAGAAAATATGTCAAGGGACAGATTATTTCAACTACGAACATGTTTGCATTTCGTTGACCTCCTTCGCCATCCTGATACTTGCAAAGACAAGTTTTTTAGAGTTCGTCCTTTGTTAGATGTTGTTAGGAAACGTTGTTCCCAACTGATTTTAGAGGAAGACCTTTGCATCGACGAGCAAATGGTTCCATTTACCGGTAATCTTAACATCAAGCAATATGTAAAAGGAAAACCATATCCTTGGGACATAAAAAAAATTATTGTTTGTGTGGAAAAAGTGGAATCGCCTATGATTTCCTCTTCTACCAAGGAAAAGAAACGGGGTTAGATGAGCAAAATCTAAACCAATATGGACTAGGGGGCAGTGTTGTCTTACATTTTGCAAACAGAATTCCTCCAAATAATCATAAACTCTACTATGACAATTACTTTTCATCCTATAATGTTTTGAAGGCTCTGACAGAAAAAAAATTTGGGCAGCAGGTACCGTAAGACTGAATCAGTTTCAAAATCCACCTGTGTTATCTGACAAAGAAATAAAAAAAGACAAAAAGGGTTTTACAGGCGAAGTTAGGAGTGCAGATAACATCTCACTGGTTAAATGGTTAGACAATAAAACTGTTTGCATGGCTTCCAACTTCATTGGAAAAGGAAAGGAAGATATTGCTAGAAGGTGGTACAAGAAATCTAATAAATATTTGAATATACCGAGGCCTGAAGTCATTGCAAAATACAATCAATCAATGGGAGGTATTGACCTATTAGACCAAATGATTAGCACCTATAGAATTTTCATAAAATCACGAAAATGGACTTTGCGATTAATAATGCACATAATAGATTTTGTTCTGGCTAATTCATGGCTGGAATATAAAAGAGACTGTCAACTAAAAAATATTCCCAAAAATAAAGTTATGGATTTTCTTCATTTCTGCTTTGATGTAACTAATGGTCTCATAAAAGCAGCTTGTGATGATACACCAACATCATCAAAAACTGTCAGAAGAGGCGAGAAAAGACCCATTGCTGATGTTCAATTTGAAAATGTTGATCATATGCCTCTGTATAGCAATAATAAGGAAGCCACTAGATGCAAACTGGCAGGTTGCAAGCAACAAAGTAATATTTTTTGTCAAAAATGTAAAGTCCACCTTTGTCTTGTGAAAAATCGCAATTGTTTCGTGAAGTTCCATAGAAAATAAAGTATTATTTTAAAGATGTATAAAATTTGTTTTGCGACCTTTTGGTTGCAAAACAAATGGAAATGTACAACGGCAACTTTTGAGTCCCAATGGACTGTATAATGTACACACCATAATATTTTTATTAATAAAAAAATTATTTTTTTTTGACATTACGATTCTTTGATACGATAGAAAACACTTAGCAACAACAAATATTTTTTTTATAAAATAATAAAAATCAGGTCTGAAAGGGTTAAAGTTCAGGACTGTTTGTAAAGAACTGAAAAAAAATTTGAACTGGCCATAAATTTCTAACAAAAACAAACTACAAAAAATCGGATGATATACATGGGGTATATTTGGATAAACCTTGTTGCAAGGAATCTATTATTTACTTTTTAATGTTTTGGTTTGGACACCCTGCATAACAATACTCATTTGAAATGTATTGAATGTTGATGTCGAGAGGGAGTCAATCACACTCCCATTACCCCTCATAAGTCCGCTTTTGAGTTGAGACAGCAACAACATTATTTTTCACATTCAGAAATTGGCCTCTATAATTAACAGGGTTTCATTATGAGACAAAATATAACCTTTGTACTTATAATATAAATATATATATTTTAGGGCACTTCAATTCCCAGCAGAGGCTTGGCTCAGATTGTCTCTGTATAATGGAAGTATCACATGGATTTCAATAACACCTAGCGGAAGGTGTATTTTAAGAGTTTTGGGTGATACAGGCCACATGCCACCAGATGTTATAACCAGCACGTGATTGGGATACAGACTTATTTCCAGATACTGGACTTGGGAATAATATTATCTATTTCGGATTTGAAATGGAAATGTTAATATCATCGAATATCATACATCTGAAAGATAGTATTAAGCATATATGAGATAGTAATTCTCATGCATCAAAAAAGTTATTATTAATGTATTAGGACTTCCAGTGAATGTTTGTATTTCACTAGAACAAAGTATATATTTATATTTTTTTCAATCTTGTTAGGTTCAAACATTTGTAATTTAAGTAGTAATAAAAGTATTTTGAGGTGTCCTTTAAAATATTGATATTCAAGTAAACCTATGTCACAAATTTTCAGGAAATGAAAGAGGACTTCACTATTCCACCTGTTAATCAATTGGGATTATTTTGCTTGAAATCATGCAAATTTATTTGCAGTTATTTTGTTTTGAGGTGTGTAACGCAAAAATGAGTACTTCTAGTAAAAAAAACAAAATACAGCGTGTAACTGAATAAGTGTAAAACATTCAAGGAGGTGATTCCTTATCGAAAAAAAGATAGGATCTGTCATACAAAGAAACTTAATCGAAGCATCCTTTGTTAAGATACAGCCCCTTAAAGGGGGTACATAAAATTTGTATAACAATTTTATCACAAGCACTGAAAAAGTTACAATATTGAAATTAACCTGACGTTTTGTACTACCAAGACACTTAGCCAGTAATTTATTTGGTTTACCCCATGGTTGTAAGGGGTGGAAAACGCAACCCCTAAAATTTATTCCCAATGTAACTTTTTGTCTTATTTGTTTACTGTTTAAAAATTCAATTCCGATAGCCTGTTTCATTCTAAACAAAAAATGTCTCTTGGGTTTTTTGCTCAAAATAAACCAGTTCGCAGCAAAAAATTATTTTACGAACAACTGCAGAGATACATTGTCATAAATGCGAACTGGATTTATTGTTATTTTGTAGTTAGTACCTGCATTAAACGATTAAAAGGTAATAAACAAAACAAATTTATTAATAATAAAACACACAACATGTAGAAATCATAGTAAATGTTCAATATGTCTACCTTCGGACATTAAGCATGCGTCTAGACGTCGGCGCATTGAGCCACGTATTTCGCTCAAATATTCCTGGAGTCTCTCTGATTACCCTGCACGCATCGATGATGCGGTTTCTTAAGTCCTCTACATCGCGAACAGGAGTACGATAAACCAAATGCTGTAAATGGCCCCAAATAGAGAAATTGAGAGGATTGAGATCCGGGGATCGAGCGGGCCAGTTCTGTGGTCCTCCTCAACCTATCCACTGATTTGAATTTGTTTCAGTTGAATGCTGACGTGCTACTTGACTAAAATGAGCGGGAGCCCCATCATGCATAAAAAACATATCCCTTCTGACGCCCAAAGGAATTTCCTCCAGCATTAATGGATGCAGTAATGTTGTCGCGACAACATACTTACCCCTCAACTGAAACGGAAGTTATAAGTTTCCAACCCAATGGTGTCGAAACTATATTGCCTCCCAAAAATCCATAAACCAGGAAAATCAATGCGCCCCATCGTGTCAGCTATTGGAGCTCCTACCTACCAAATAGCGAAGCTCACTAAGGAATTTGAAACCTTGTCTATTGCAGAACCAGGTTTTAGTATAAAAAACTCTTTAGAGTTCATACAACATACAAAAAACATGGTTCTGCAAAAAGGTGAGATTTTGGTTTCTTTTGATGTTAGTTCATTATTTCCTAGCATGCCAGTTCCACAGACCTTGCTATACCTCAGGGAACTACTAGAGAAAAATAATTTCAATAACAACGAAATCGATGAATTCGTTTCTCTTACCAATTTGTGTATGAAACAAAATCGTTTACAGGTAGAAGGTTACTTTTATGAACAACAGGAAGGAACGGCCATGGGAAATCCCTTGTCCCCCTACCTGGCAGACCTGTTCATGAGCAGATTCGAAATGGAAACTAGAGGAAAGTCAAAGTATTTTCCTAGGATTTGGCTAAGGTATGTGGATGATATTTTCGCGGTATTCGATACCAAAAAATCGAATATCGAGGACTTTGTTTCCTTTTTAAATGATAGATGTCCATCAATAAAATTCACGTATGAATTAGAAAATAAGGGACAACTACCATTTCTTGACGTTTTGGTAATGAGGAGCAAAGATTGAGGGTTAGAATACGATATATTTAGAAAAGAAAGAAGTACGTACAGGTATATTTCTGACAGTTCACATCACTGTGGATAGCACAAACGTGCTGGGTTGAATTTTTTGGTGCATCGTCTTTTGACTTTCCCTCTAACACATGATAGGTTCACAAAAGAGAAACGTACAATACAGGAAATAGCAGCCACTAACGGTTTCCCGAGGGGTATTGTAGATAACATAATTAGGAAAAAGAAGTTTAGGTTAAGAATGAACGAAATCTCGACTTTCAGAAAGGACAAAAACCAAGATAAATACATCTCAGTTCCATACCACCAATATACGAAGAACTTTGGAAAGATTTTCAAGGAACTAGGTATGAAGGTGGTTTTTAAAACAAGTCATACACTGCAGAGTCTTTTGGGAAGTCCAAAAGACAAAGTCGAGAATTTGGAAAAGTCTGGAATTTACGAAATTGAATGTAAGGACTGCGATGCAAAATATTATGGACAGACAAAAAGATCTATTAAAGTGAGATATAAGGAACACATAGCACACTTAAAATATGGAAGACCTGAGAAATCAGCAGTCGCCCATCATATTTTGCAACAAAACCATTCCATAGACTTCAGTTCTTTAAGATTAGTTAGACAAGTTAACAACAACAGGCAGCTAGATGCCTATGAGAGTGTAGAAATAAGTAAACATAATAATATTATGAATAACGACAACGGACCAATACCAAATAGCATACTATATAGCTTGTTGAAATAATATTGTTGGGTTTACTGATTACTACAAAAAGACACATTGTAAATATATTTAGATAGGCAATATGTGAAACTAATTTTATATAGTTGAAAATTGTTCTATATACATATCTGTAACATTTAAACACACATAAGGACATAATGTGAACTAATAGAAAGGGCAATTGTGAAATTGATTTAGGGTGGTGCACTTGTATGGGTGGTATTACTGATTACCTACCTGTATGATGTACCTGATTATAAGTAGCTACAGTTTTGAGTAGTTTTTAGTTTTATCTTCCTCTTGAAGATGATCACTTGGTGATCGACACACGTGTCGAGGTGTGAAAATAACGATTTGGTGTTGGGAAAAAACTCCAGTAATATTCACCTCCTTGAATGTTTCACACTTATTCAGTTACACAGTTAGAGTATAGTCAAATCTTGTGTGAGCTAAGGACTAACGAGGTCTTACTTTTTAACGTTTGATTCCTCACACGGGTTGGACGATAGCAAGTGAAAATCGATTGTTCAGCCTGGGGCTTAACCCACCGACCAACACGGCGGTGGATTTGAGTGAGCAGTGAACAAAGCACCCACGTCGAACCGACTGGTGTTAAGAAATGATGCTTTGTGACCAATACAGCTCATGTGACATCTTGAAACAAAACATGCCCCATTAAAAACAACCTAGAAGACTATTTTGTAATGAAAAGACGAGAAATGAAACGAATCCACAGCAATACAGCTGCGTCGTTCGCCCCATCAACAGGTAAAATTGTTGAACTTTCACTGCTCATAGCTAAAAACCTCATACTGTTGACGAGTCCCTAGTAAAGCTCTGTTTGTTAAATGAAAAGCAGCAGAAATAATACTCTATCCACAGAAGAAGAAGAATTTACCAAATATTTCAGTCTCAGACAGTGAGAAGGCATATTGATGATATGGATGTAGATTAAGATTCCTAGCTTAATGTAGATTTACAAAACTAGATTGTGGAGGGGAGCAAATCTTCTCCCAGGTTTGCAGTCTAGTGTAGTGAAAGCACTGATGTGGCAAATTGTTGCCAACTTTTAGTATTTGCATGCTACATATATGAAGACAGCATAGAGGAGCTTCTATTTGTTCAAGATTGAAAAGCAACATCAAGCCTCTGATGTTATGGCGGCATTTACTGATTTTTTTCGATACTCATGAGATTTGATGGAAAAATCTTATTGGAGTACGCCGCACCTAGCATGATTGGTTGTTGTTCAGGATTTGTGAAGCTACTCAAAAAAAAAATCCGTCAATAATATCAACACACTGTATGATACACAGACAAGCATTAAGCTGGAATTTCACTCCAGCTAATTGGATACTTTCATTCAATAATATTTTTTAATTTACGTACTCTATTTTTAAAATTGTCAGTTTCAACTGTGAAGTGTCTACCTATTAGTAATTTGTGACGTGTTTCATATTAATTTCACTGTAGTCTGTGAAACCAATGAATAAATTGAATTGAAGACGCTTTGAACATGAAAAATGGTGTGTCTGCTCACGATAATTTTAGCCACATGGATTTGACTGAATTTTGGATAAAATATTCCATTTATACTGTTGTCGAAAAGAAAGTACTGCGTATTCTTTTACCGTTCTCGACTACCTGTCTGTGTGAATGGAGTTTTGCAATGATGTTGGGTATAAAAACGAAGCCAAGAAATAAAATACATGTCGAAAATGATCTGCGCTGATCAATGTGAAGCCAAGAATTCATCGATTGGTTAATAAAGTGCAGGCCCAATGTTCTCACCAATTATAATTAATTATATGCTATACTTCAGTTATTTGGATTAAATACCCACTCATAATTAATATACAGTTCATTAAAGTTTTCGTTTGTTTCATTTCCATCCTAGTTGAACTGGGACAAGGGTCGCATAGTAGGTATTTTAGCATAAACTTGAGACAGACGCATAGGGTGAAAGATTGTTTAAGGTAGTTATTTTTGGGTTAACTTGTACAGGGTGAGTTATCAAGATTAAATTATCTTGGTCCAGTCCTCTGGTGTTAACTAGATATTAATCAAAACTATCTTCTAAAATTATTTTTTCACATACTGGGTTGGAGATTTGTCTCTCTTCTATAGATACTTTCACGGGAAATGTTCAAGTGACTTGGCACATTTGATTCCACCAAGAGCGGTACATATCAGAAGTACGCGACAGTTTAAATTAGGCTCATAAAAACCGACAAAACTTTTGAAACGACTCAATATTTAATGGGAAAGAAAGTTTTTCGCCTTCGGCTTCTCCATCTTGATCAAAAAAATGTGGGAATTTTTCGAAGAAAGCAAGGAATTAAATTCAAAAAATCAACTTTATACAAAGATGTGTAGATCATGTGAAGAAGTAACTTTCAGACACAAACTAGAAGAAAAAGCCCTCTTGAAACAGCTATTTTCATATAAACATTGAATAACAAGAAAGAAAATACTTTCGAAACAAATACTTTATAAACACTGAATTATACGAAAAATCAGATATTCACAGAATTTCTACATAATATCTGATTTGACTTCATATGAATGTTTGGAACACAAATGGAATAGAAAAGTGTTTTTCGTATAATTCAGCGTTCATATAAAAGTATTTGTGTCGAATGTATTTTTCTTTTGTGTAATTCAATGTTTATACGTAAATAGCTGTTTCGACAGGGCTTTTTCTACTGGTTTGTGTCTGAGGAAATAGAAGGCCAAAAACTTTCATTCAAAAAAAATCTCTCCTAAAAATATAGCCTTTTAATTCAATCAATATTTAACTTTTTCTAACTTCTGAAGTTTTCTAACTTTTCATTTAATGTGTTTTCCATGGAAAGTGGATTGAAATTAATTCTATCACCACTTAATTAGTACCTACACTGAAGTAAAACAAAGTTTTTGAGTTGAATATAAGTACAGTTTTCAGAGTTTCTGTGTTGCAGGGGCAACATTGAATGCTTGGTTGAAGGGGCAAATATTTTTATGGTGAAAATTATTTGTTGATAGAAAGTTTCAATTCTCTTTTCTTCGTTATGATTTCCTACCACGTAGTAACGGCTACATCCATCAATTTATTATTTGAGTCGTTTAGTATTTAATAAACAGTAAATAGGGACTAATAACATGGTGAATAAGGAGACAATATTCGATTAATGGAGAAAACTGAAAAATATATTAGCTCTTCGTCAAAAATATAAACGGAAGTACATACATACTTGTACTCATGTACTCAAAATACTTAACCTACAGTAAATTTCAACAAAGATGAGTCCTTTCTGAAAAGCGGTCGATAGCAATATTGAAGAACATATTTGATTTACATGATTTGATTCACATAATCAAATGTGAAATACAAATACTTCAGAAACAGGCTAAGCCTAATCCAAACATAGTTCTTCTGAAATAACTAAAATTTCATTTGCCAGGTAGACTCTTTTTCAAAAAATGCTCATTAAATACATACAGAAAATCAACTAACCATTCTCAACATTAAAATTTAAGGCACAGGCTTGTATGTATGGAACAATATTTCCAAAGGATAAATTATATAACTAAACAAATTTTTACAAACATTACATATGGATTACTTTACAAACATTACATTTGACGATATTCCTATATTGTTGGAATAAATAAAAAAAGTACGGTCTTCTTACTGTAACAAATGTCTGCACACACTTTCAATTCATTGAAAGAAACTAAAACAAATACACTGAATAGATTAATATTGTCCTAAAATATTATTTCATTCATTCATTATCAAATTATATTTCAACAGTACTACAATTTATGTTATGTGAAACCTTCAAACATCGAGATGAAGAAATTACTAAAAATATGGTTACTTATATTTCCACAACAATGTAACAATATTTTATTAAAAGTTTACTATTCAACATTAAGTCACAGCTTTTACTTTCAACTGAAGTCATAACTTTTCAGTCAGCAAACTACAAATGGATCGAAATGGTGTAAAAAAGAACATATTTAGTTTCTTTGTACTTCATATTCCAGCATATATCAGTTGTTGCACTATTGATTTCCATAACACAACTAAATTAAACATTGTTTTATGGCTGATTCATCCACTAAACTTCAGGAAAGTTGTCACAATGTAAATCAATAGAAGTCATATACTTTCACTTTATAACTATTATCCAATATCATTTGTAAATAACTGTTCTTTGTTTATATTGGCGTTTTGCTATGAAATGTGAAGTATAAGTGACATCAACAAATAAATAATAATTTAAGTCTTTTTAATCCTTATTATTACAATAAAAGTTTGATGTATGAATCAGCCATTATTTCATATGTATTCTGATCTCAAAACAGAACATGATTCAATTACTCTGGGCCTTGTGATTTTCATAAGTGAACTATATATTTTCTGCATTACGGAAAGTGAATGTAATTTGTTGTTAAGGACATGATATGCGACCTGAGTGACTGCTCTGCTGCAGCATCTTGAGAAACTTCACCTAGAGCGTTCTGAGTAAACATTTGAAAATTTGTCAAAAATATCACAAAAAATTGTTATGCTCAAACACTATTCCATTACTGAGGCCTGTACATGAGTGTGTAGTGACCGCCAATTTCTATGCTTCACATCGCCCAAAAACATTACTTCTCACAGGCTACACCTCAAGTGAGATATGTAGGAAAAACACTTTTATACAAATAGCATACTAGGTACTATAGTGAAAACCATATAAAATGCAAAGGGGCTAATCAAAAGCACACAATATGTCTTTTGTGATGAGCTTTCATATGATCCCTCCTTTTAAACTTCTTTTTACAAATGTTACATTCATGCGATAATCCTACCGTATGTACCAGTAAATGTTTAATAAAAATAGACCTAAAGTTTTTAGTTTTGATTGGTTTTTCACAGATAGGACAGAAGTTTCTGTTTGGAGAATCAAAATACTTCTCCACCTCTTCTGGTGGGAGAATTTTTATTGGAATATTACGACAGGTTCTAGAATGACGAAGAAGATCAAGAGGATTCTCAAAAAATTTGTGGCACTGTTTGCATTTTTTATCACTATCAGTTTTGTCCACTTCTGAAAATGATATCCCATCTTCATTGTAATCATATATAGAAATATCATTTGGCTTGCTTGGTTGTTTACTGTTCATGTCTACCGTAGAGTCCTTTGGGGTTTCCAACGTTATATCTTGAAATATTTTCAAGTTTGGGTTTTCATTGTTATTTTCTGAGAAGTTGCTATTATTTTCAGTTACCCCAGTTTCCATATTGTCCTTATTACTATTATTGGTGGTTAGTTTATTGGCATGCTTTTTCTCCAGTCTATCATTAACATTATGGGTTTCCATCATTTCAGATGTATCACTACTGAAATATTCACTTGCAGCTGAACTTGAATTTACATTGGTATCATCATTGGCATGGCTTCTTTCCAGTCTATTTTCAATATTATCAGATATTTTATTATTGAAATATTTACTTGTACCACGATCGGTATTTGAATTTTTACACTTTTTCATATGGTTGACTCCAGTGAGTTTTCTTTGGAATACTTTTGAACAGTACTGGCAAGGATAAAATATTTTTCCATTGGGTGCTATGATGGGCAACTTGGTAGGTAATACTTTTGGGACAGTATCTGTTTCTGTATTGTTTTTGTTAGTACTTTCGTCACAACTTCCTTTGAATCGCGAGGAGTTTCTTGTCACCCTAGTTGACATTTTGTCTTAAACAAATTCAATTTATCCACCACATTTTGTTTACCAATTTTTTTACTCACCTCGATATGTTGAACTATTTCTCAGTTCTAATAAATATTATGAAAATGAACTAATAATTGAAAATTATTAAAACGATAAAAAACATGAAAATATACAAAATATTCGAAAGTAAACAATATACATCTGCAAATGAAAATTAAAAAAAGAAGAAGAAGAAGAAACAACCAGTCATTTTGTCTTGAAGAACGGTTACTCAATTCTCAGTTAATTGGAGACCACAGCAAAAGGGCGTCGCTAGCGTCAACGCCAAACTGAGGAAAATCAAATAAATAGGTTAAATATTTGTCATACAGTACGGTACATGCAGTACTTAGAGTATAATAATTGTCTCAGCTGAAATGTTCATCTGAAAAACACACTTATTTGCTATAAATGTTCAATTTCTGTCTCCTGGAAATCTGTTCAATTTCCTGAATATATTTCTTTGCTGTTTAGGCAAAAAAGAACGAATCACATTTTTTTCCAGATCAGTCAATGTAGATGTTTTTGATCGTTATTTTATATTAGAGTATTGAGGTGGAAGTAACTTAATCATATCCCACGAAAAATAAATCGAAACAATTTTTCTGACTTGAATCCTCTGTATCATTGAGCAAAGTACAAGTTGCCATTTGTAAACTATCGGAACATGTGTTTGCAAAAACATGACTGAGCCGCAGAAGCGGTTATTTACATAAAAAAAAGAAGCAGCTTTTTTGGGCATTAGGCGCGAATTCGACAATACACCCTTGGAATATTTTTATTATACAAGTTTGGTCGATTGATGCTCTATTTATTTTGTAAAAATTTATATTGTGTATAGGATGAAAAAAATACTTTTGTTTAATTACTACTCAGTTTATTATTTGTTACGAACGGTTTCGTTGTATAACATATTCCTAACTACATAATAACGAACATAATTTTCTAAATGAAAATATCTATGGTCATTAGAATACACGGATGATTCTCCAGAATAGTCTGAAACGCATTACTTATTCTTAAAAACAAATACTATATTTCTATTCAAAATAGTTCACTTAGTTTTTATAGCTGAATTAATTGTAAAGTTACTTTGTATGAGTAGGCATAATGGATCATGGAAGTACAAAATAATAGACCAATCACCTCTTTGTTTGTATCCAACCACCCCAGTTGTCGAGAGCGATTGTTATAACCCCTCAAAACAGTTTATATTCATAGATGAGTTGCATGATTTGTCACATTCTGTCACGTGCATAAAAAGTTCCAAAAACTTAATATAAAGAAAGTGATATCATCAAATAACATGCCAATCAAAAGAATTAACAACAGAAAAGTACAAAGGTGAGATACTTATATATTAATCCTTGTATTGACGTATATATTTTTCTAATCTAGTTTTGATTGTGATGATCAAGTCAAAATAGACATTTCATTTAATATTAACTCGCAAAGAGTTTTAAATAATTTACAGTTCATATTATTAATATAATTCATTGTTACATTCAAATCAACAGTTCAAAAATAACTTTTCAAAACGCTCAAAGGTGCGAACTAGTTTCCTCCTTTTCATAAAAGAGAATGTATGCATCTCCACTCACAAGCTATTTTGGTGAAATTGGTGACACGAGTTGTTCCTACGGATGATTTATCGGAAATGTTTGTTTTATTTATTTTGCTCATGTACTATTAATTTATTAGAGATTTTTTGAATAGTTGGCAAAAATAAACAGAATTTTAATACTTGTCAAACATAAAAACCACGTCTTGTCATTCAAAGTATTTTCATTCATAAAACTATTAAAACCAAAGGCAATTTCAAAACCAAAACTAACCGGAGTCAGAGACGTAAGTGGTCCTTTGATCCATCAATGAATCTCCCTGTGGAAGATGGCGGAAAGTAAATTCTTACCCCTGAGAAAAAGTGAAAGAAAAACGAAAGGAATGCCATCTGTAAGATATGTCGACATCACTCAAGACTTGGGAAAATGCAAACAGGCAGCGATGAATGAAGATGAAGTTTCTCGAAAAACAGTTTCGAGTAGTCAATCCAGGAAAAGAATGCAGTTGGAATTCGAATTCGAGAAGGAGAAAATATTGGCGGGAATTGAAAAAAGGCTGATTGAACGAGAAGCAGAAATGAAAAAAGCAGTGTTGTACAGTCTGAATTCAAGCGAGTTTTCATTTAAAGAAGAAAAAACGGCAACGTATAAATCCTTCATTAAAAACTGGGTAAATACTGTAGACGAAAATGAAGAGATTTTACAAAATGTAAATAATGAACAGGAACAAAAATCCACTAAGGCAAATATTCAGGGAAGTATGTCGGAAGAACATAAAATGTATCAGTTTATGGCTAGACAATCTTTCAGTAAAGAACTTCCAGTATTTTCCGGTGAGCCCGGAGAATGGTTGAATTTTATACATCAATTCCGAGAAACGACAAAACTCTGCGGATTTTCCGACGCTGAAAACACTGTGCGTTTATAAAAGTGCATAAAAGGCAAAGCAAAAGAAAGTGTAAATGCGTTACTGATTTTCACTCAAGAAGTAGACATAATTATCGATACCCTTGAGAGAAGATATGGCAGACCCGACATCATCATTAAAAATTTGAATGATTCTGTAAAAAAAATCCTGACATAAAGGAGGACAAGCTTGACACCATTTTCAACTTCTCAAATAAAATACAAAATTTGGCTGTTACTATTAAGAGTTTGGATTGCTACGATTACTTGTCTAATCCACAACTTTTAAATGAGATTATTAAAAAACTTAGCCCCAATTTGCGTATGGAGTGGGGTAGAAAAGTTTTACAATTGAAATAATGGAAAAATTCAGTTACCATCACATAATTCTCCATATGGCCGAGTGAAACTAGTGAAGCAGTTACATACGTTGTTGGTCCAGAATAGGAACAGGACAGAAAGAAGTACGTTTTTACTACCAGTCAACAAAAAAAAAATAGTTTATAAATGTTAATATTGCAAAAAAAATGGATATAAAGTTGAAACATACAAATTTTTCAAGAAACTTGATATTGGAAAACTTTGGGAGTGGGCAAAAGAAAATAAAGTGTGTATTACTTGTCTTGGATCGTCACATCTCACACAATTTTGCCGAAGTGAGAAAAAGTGTGGAATCGATGGTTGTGCTTTCAAACATAACCCACTTTTGCATAAAGTAGTGGAAGATAATTTAGTTGAGGTGGAAGAGCAATTTAATCATCATGTCAATTATTCCCAGAAGACTGAAATACAGTTAAGGATTGCTTCTGTTGAATTAATCGGTCCTAGAGGTGAATTTAATACATTTGCCCTCTTTGACGAATCATCCACCATTACCATGATCGATTCTATGCTGACAGACTAAATGGGTGCAACAGGTCCATGTGAAACTTTGAAAATCAAATGGACAAAGTCAATTACATCCGAAGATTATAATTCGAAGAAGATATCATTGAAAATACGTGGTCTAAGTGAGAGTATTACATACAACTTGAGCAATGTCAGTACCGTTGACAATTTGTCTCTTCCTGTGCAATATGTGGATGTGAAAAATCTATACAAAAAATTAATTTACATAAAAAAAAGTAAAACTATCATCTTTTCAAAATGCAAAGCCAAAAATACTCATTGGGCAGGACAATATCAGTTTAATACTAGCCAGAGAATTCCAAGAAGGAGGAATAAATAATCCCATATTGTCTAAATCCAAATTAGGATGGGTTATACACGGCAACCTCAACAAAAGTCATTTTGGCAGGGTCGATGAAGAATATTCTCTTTTTGCCAGCCACCAGCGTGAACATTTGCAAGATTTCGAGGATCTTGTTGAGAATTCTTTCAAAATTGACAGTTTGGGAGCGAAATATTACAAGAAATCACAAAATCCAGATGATGTTCGAGCGACAACAGTCTTGGAAGAAACTACTAGAAGAATTGATTTGAACAAGTGGGAAACTGGACTTTTGTGAAAGAGTGGCCAGTTCAAACTCCCAAATAGTAAACTTACTGAACTAAACCGGCTGAAAACTATAGGAAAAAAAATGGACAAAGACAAAAACTTTGCTGTTCAATATGAGATAAAGATTTTAGAATATTTGGAAAAAGGGTATGCCAGGAAATTAACCAATGAGGGAATTCAGAATACATCCCAAAATATATGGTAATTGCCTCATTTTGCTGTTACGAATCCAAATAAGCCTGACAAAATACGTTTTTTATTTGACGCAGCAGCAAAATCCAGTGGCACCAGCCTCAACAACTTTCTTTTGAAAGGCCCAGACTTGCTGAACTCTCTACATGAAGTCATTTTTAAATTCAGGCAAAGAAATATAGCAGTAACAGCAGATATACAGGAAATGTTTCATAGAGTCCAAATTATATAGAAAGATAGGAGTGCACAGTGTTTTTTGTGGAGGGGAAGAAGAAGAGATGAAGAAAATCCTGAAGAATATGAGATGGTTTCCATGATATTTGGAGCAGTTTCGTCTCCAACTTCTGCCCAATTCGTGATGAGAAGAAACGCACTAGAATTTAGAGAAGACTTTCCAGAAGCTGTAAGAGCTATTACAGACAATCACATCTGGTGCAATTAAAGTACATGGAAGAGGAGGTTTTATCATACGAAATTGGTCGAGTAACTCAAGGGAACTCTTGAAAACCATTCCAGATGAATATCGAGCTATAAATAAAAAAGACATGGATTTAGAAGAAGAATTATCATTACCCATTCAAAGGATTCTAGGTTTAATTTGGAATCCTAATGAAGACAAGTTTGGTTTTTCAACAAAATGGAATGAAGATAATCTTCAGAACTTGACCAAAGCACCTGTTGCAAAAAGAGATGTCTTAAGAACAGTGATGGACTATCTTTGATCCATTCTGGTTCTTGAGCACCTTTACAATCATAGCAAGAATTCTGCTCCAGGATATTTGGCAAACAAAAATCTGCTGGGATGATGAACTTACTGAAGATATGATGGTCAAATGGAAGAAGTGGATTGACAAAAATTAAAAAATTGACTAATTTAATCATTCCCAGATGTTACGTTTCGAATGTATTCTGTGATGCTAGTGCTCAGGCTTGCGCTTCTGTTGCTTATTTCTGTATCACCAAAAAAGAATTTTGTGAAACATGTTTCGTAATAGCGAAGTGAGTTACACCGATGAAACAGCAGATATCCATCCCTAGGCTGGAACTTCAAGTTGCAGTTTTTGGGAGTAGACTTGCAGTGACCATTAAAGAACATTATAGCATCAGAATCAATTATGGATAAAATATGTTCAGAAGGAACATTTCCAAGACGTAATCAGGTACCTGCAAAATGATAGGAAAATTGAATCCTCTAGCAAGCTCTTCAAATTGTCACCTTTTCTAGATGATGAAGGAATAATACGACTCAAAAGTAGAGTTTTGTATTCATATGATTTACCTGATCACACAAAATTTCCAATAATTCTCGAATCAACAAATTACTTCACGAAATTGTTGATTTTTTACTATCACTCAAAAGCAGCGCATAATGGTCAATAGTATGCCGTAAATAAACTGAGACAACGTTGCTGGATTCTGAACATGAGATCAGCAATGAGAAGTTGTTGGAACATATGCCAATTTTGCAAAAATAAAAGGGCAAAACCAGAACTACCAGAGATGGCACCGTTACCGAATTCTCGTCTAACCTCATTTGTTGGACCTTTCACCATAGTCGGAATGGACTATTTTGGGTCTATGAATGTTTCTGTTGGCCGAAGACATGAAAAAAGATACAGAGTAGTGTTTACATGCATGAGCACCCGTGCAGTTCATCTTGAAATGGCATACTCTTTGAGTACAGATTCGGCAATAATGGCAATCAGAAGACTAATTGGTCGTAGAGGGCGTCACAAAAATGTATTTTCCGATAATTCCACGAACCTAAGGGGAGTAGCAAACGAACTTAAGAGAGCCTTAAAAGATTTGGACCAGAATAAGTTAATTTCGAACTTAACAACTCACAACATTGAATTCAATTTCATACCACCTTCCGCTCCACATTTGGGAGGAAGTTGGGAGAGACTCATTAGATCCATCAAAACTACTTTAAATGTTATTCTCAAAGAAAAATTTCCATGAGACGAGGTTCTGCAGACTTTATTAATATAAGGCGAATCCATTGTCAGCAGCCGTCCACTGGTTCACGTGTCACTCGACCAAGCAGACCAAGCCCCGACACCAAATAACTTTTTGATGGAAACATCAAGTGTAACTCAGATCCCTGGTCAAGGCTGCTGATGTGGTTATCATAGTTGACAACCAGTTTTCGAGAAACACCTGGCCAAAAGATATCGGTTATTTATTTTGCTCATGTACTATTAATTTTTTAGAGATTTTTTAAATAGTTGGCAAAAATAAACAGAAGTATTTTCATTCATAAAACTTTTAAACCAAAGGCAGTTTCAAAACCAAAACTAACCGGAGTCAGAGACACGTGTGAATCATTGTATTCGTGTCACGTGTCAGTATAAGGATGTCTGCAGAATGCGGTATAATGTCCGATGTAGGGAGACCCACTGTGATTCGAAAGTGCATATAGATTATAGCGACAAGGAGTCACATTGTCTGCTGCATAATTATTCATATCTGATCCATCTAGAGGAAATTCGATGACAACATCCAACATCCAAGAAATCCAAGCACTGGAAATTGATACATGTGTTGAATACACTGTTGCAAATAGTATACAAGGCTATTCAAATTCGTTTCTGTACATGTGAATCTCGTAAACGATAAGAGATAGAGTGTCGGTTAAATTGTGGCACAGTTGCGTATTTTAGAGACCTATTCAATGATGTGAAAAAAATTAAATATAGATCTTTTGGTTCTGGAGATATATGGGAAAAATCAAAAAATCCCAAATTATTTTTTTGCCTATATCTTCTTTATTCGCCGACATATTGAAAATCTGTCCGCATTTTGTTGCTATTGGCACTTGATGTGGGCTCTCAGAATATATCCATGAATCTTTTATACAGGGTGTCATCTGACTTGGGCCACCCTCATCTTTGAATTTTTAAATACGGACCTGTATTTTTTGTTTTAGTTTTTGTATCGTCGACGTTCAATTCATACTGAGAAATTTCAATTCTATATTTCGGGATGTTTCCGTAATATTTGATTATAATTGTGTACATTATTCCCTTTTAAATTACGGCCCTGGAAATTGGTTGACTGAGTTGAATAAAAACACGATAGCAACTTTCTCGTCTCCCTATGTACCGTAGAGTTTTAGGAGAGTCTTTTTTTCATTTTTAGGTACCTTTTAATACTTTTTCCATTGCTCTGAGCGTTTTCTGCAATGAACTTCGAATAAAAAAACCTTTTATTATTATCTGAAACATATCTACATCAAAAATATATTAAATATGTTTCAATAAGCAGAAAAAGGTATTATAGCAATAATAACATCCGAAACGAATACTATAATTGTAATGAAAATTGAAATGAAGTAATTTGTATACACAAAAAAATTAATGGCGCAATAAATGTTCGAATTGGAGTCCATCCATTTTGAGACATTTTTGAACTTGTTTTTTCACTTATTTGCTGCATTGCTGTGAAATCATTCAAAATCCTCAATCTCGAGTCTTCTACATTTTCTATCTCTCTGCCAGCGTAAATCCTATTTTTCCCATGTTCCCCATAGAAAATTGTCCAAAATAGTAAGATTTGGTAATCTTGCAGGCCATTTTATTGGCCCATTATTTGTCTCGAAATGGAAGGACTCCAATTCAAACATTTATTGTGCCATTAATTTTTTGTATATAAATTATTTCATTTCAATTTTCATTACAATTATAGTGTTCGTTTCGGATGTTATTATTGCTATAATTTCTTTTTCTGCTCATCGAAACACATATAATATATTTCTTAGATATGTTTCAGATAATCATGAAAGGTTTTTTTATTAAAAGTTCATTGTAGAAATCGCTCAGAGCAATGGAAATATGAAAAAATATGAATAGGTAGCTGAAAATGAAAAAAAAGTCACTAAAAACTCTACGGTACATAGGGAGACGTGAAAGTTGCTATTGAGTTTTTTATTTAACTCAGTCAACCAATTTCCAGGGCCGTAATTTAAAAGGGAATAATTCACTCAATTATAATCAAATATTACGGAAACATCCCCAAATATAAAATAACATTTAATTTCTCAGTATGAAGTGAACGTCTACGATCCAAAAACTACAACAAAAAATACAGGTCCGTATTTAAAAATTCAAAGATGGGGGTGGCCCAAGTCAGGTGACACCCTGTATAAAAGATTCATGGGCATATTGTGATAGCCCACATCAAGTGCCAATGGCAAAATGCGGACTGGTTTTCGATATGTCTGCGAATAAAGAAGATATAGGCAAAAAAATATTTGGGATTTTTTTGTTTTTCCTGAATATCTCCAGAACCAAAAGAGCTTTATTTGATTTTTTCACATCATTGAATAGGTCTCTAAAATACGCAATTTTGCCACAATTTAACCGACACTCTATCTCTTATCGTTTACAAGATCCCCATGTACAGAAACGAATTTGAATAGCCCTATATAAGAATTTTCCGCTGACCTCCCAATGATTATTTATAATTGGTTGTACAATATAGGACTGAAGGACATCAGTATGAGGCAATGTCATCTAGGCATGTAATGCCTTTTTGCATGATAACTATAACCTGGCGTCGATTTCCTTCGGAAAGTCCAAGCTTTTTTAAGTTTTTCCCACTTCCCTGTTTGAAGGATGCTGTTTTTTGGAAGTGAGTCAAAAACGAGGGAGTAGAAATAGAAAGGGAGCACTTCTCTCTATCAGAATCAAGAATGGTGGTCTAGATGACACGTAACTACTTGAAAACATCTGAAGGCATCATATCAGGTGTTCTGGTGGGTCCTGCTGACCCAAATGAGTTTTCAGATGATGATTAGTTACAGCGAGATGAGGTAACTCTTAATCACGACAGACTGGTCCGAGTGTGAATAGTTGACAATTACCCAAAACGATGCATGGGCTAACTTTGTCGCTAAGAGTGACCCCTTTGATCACCTGATATGAAGCCCTTGAGTTTTTTTATGATGATTCATGAAACTTGAAGTAGTTGCAGTTTGTAGACGTCCCAAACGTTCATCGTCTCCCAAGCTCCACGGCCACGTTTTAAATTAGCTGCTCGAAATTTTACTGTGGTAATTGATGGTGCAGAGTCCCCGTACACAGAATCCAACTCATCTTTGATTTGCGTAGGCGTATTGCCTTTCAAAAACAAATATTTAATGACAGCTGGATACTCGATTTCGTCTATTTTCATAAAAAGACTCATATCAACTCACTGAAACGATTGTTTCATAACAATTGCGCGTCCGAAATGGCTGAAACTTTGGTGAGTAACTGCTGAACAATGAAATTCACTAGCTTTTATTTACGAATACTATTTTCATGTTGGGGTCGGAAATTTTTAGACCACCCTCTTATTTTTTGCAGAGTAAAATGAAAATGTTTTCTAGTTATTCTGAAGAATTTCACGAGGAGAACATTGTAATAAATCAGCTATGATTAACTGAATATTACTGGAGTTTTTTCCCAACTATAAATCGTTATTTTTAACACCTCGACACGTGTTTCGATCACCAAGTGATCATCTTCAAAGAGGAAGATTAAAACATCATGAGTATCATCATATCATAAGTATCATCATCATAAGTATGATTAACTGGTTTTTATTTTACAATCGGTATGATTTTATTTGACATGGATAATTTATTCCCTCTTTTCTTTGTCGAAAAACATTGGTAACCTTTTTTCTTTCAGAAAAACATATCCCAAGAAACTCTTGTACTCAAATTGGGAGACTAGAAATGATTCTTCAAATGTCAACGCCGTACTACATCCTGATCTAGAAACGCCCAGGAAATTCATTCACCAAGTTCCCACCAAGCCTGTTCAAGAAAGTAAAGGAGTATACAGAAAATGTTGCCTTGGTACCAATACTTGCTACTGCAGGGAAAAACCAATAAGACCACGTTTACTAAACAAACCCAATAAATGCCTTTCATTGGAAGCATTACAACGAAAACTAACTGATGACAATCTATCCAGGACATCCCTTCGGTGTCTGTGTGAAGGTAATATCTATTTTTCAGTTAATGATATAGAGTCAGAGAAAGTAGAGATATTCTTAAAGTCAGAGATGCTTAAAGAAGTATATAAGAAGAAGTTATAAAAAAAATTCCATCAAGTACCTGCCGATTCCATCACATACTTCAAAAGTAGACATCTGATATTTGTACTCATAGCCTTTCTAAAGTTGTAGATGATGGGGCTTCAACAAGCAATGTTAATGTGACGGATTCAGATTTGATAAAGAAATACAAAGAAGAGCTTGAAAAAAACAGTACTTCTTTGCACATTACCAAGCAGAGAGAAGATTACAATTTGTTCAGAATCGAACAAAATGAGAAGTACTTGGATGACGTAGAGAGGTATGACCTTGAGAACGAAAGTGCAAGATATGGATTGGAGGAGAAAGATAGATACCAAGAAGATATTTTGTATAACAAAAATAGAGATAGAGGATATATATCTGGGGAAATGAATGACATCGACAGAGATGTTTTGGAAGAAGACCGAAGTGAAGATAGAGGATATATAGAAGAAACATACAAAGAGAAACCTACAAATGGGTTTGCGAAAAAGAAGAAAACGTATGGATCTGGAAAAGAAGAAGAAGAAGAATCAGTTTCAACATTATTGGGTAATACGTCAAGAATAACCTGTTGAGTATATAATAATGTTTCAGTATTTAAAATATACAGGATAGTTATTGTTGACTTTCAGTTGAAACTTCTCTCGAAAGTAGGGAAAAGCTCCATTCAATCAGAGTGAATTTTTCCAATAAAGAATTTCAACAAAAGTCTCACTTTATATAGAACTTTATATAGAACTCTATAATCCTCTATAAAAATATTTCACCTATATTTAACATTGTAACTTTTTTATTTTTTGTTATTGGTACTTGTGGCCAAATACTTTTTGACTACATTTTTAATAAGGAATTTAGAAATATAAACAATTTAACAATCGATCGTGGGGGCTGATGTGAATTTTCACCGAATTTACGCAGTAACTTATCAGAGTTTACTAGAAATTTGCTTTTTCTACACCCGCATTGAGTTCTTCATTAAAATTTTGAGTTTTTCAGATTGCAGAAAATTCACCCCTCGCTGCAAAGCGAGGGGTGAATTTTCCACTGAAAGATTTTTTGTACATCCCCTGTAGATCGAAAAAGTTTCTACTGGAGTTTTACATCAAAATATCAATGATAATAACGATGCCTCGCCTTGTTGACTGAAATTTAAAGACATTTGAACTTTCCTTCCTTATGTATTTGAGGTGGATTTCCACATCATCAAAAGTTAACCTGTATACTATTTTTGATGGTAGAATGCTCGAGAAATTTTCAAAATTTTGATCTAGTTGATACCTTCCTCATTTGATAGGAACGAGGCAGGTCGATTCCAAACTTGGATCTAGTGGATTCCTAACAGAAGGGTTAAATATTGATGAACTTCGGAAGTTCAGGGACGATCACTATTTTGAAACACACGCAGTAGACTTTTCTGAAGCAGAAGTTCCGAAACATACCTGTATACATCAGTTCAAACTGGATAACAGACTGTTCCCTACTCCCATAAATGCTGATTCCTATGGAAGAAGCAGGTGCGGTATAGTTTTGTATTTTCAGAATAAAATTTCATTTAGTAAGTAATTGATAACTATCAATTTGCCTTTTACAAATGTGTGAAATAATACTTCTACCATATTAGAGTACCTAAAATAGTGTATAATATTCGTACTTTCTCCTTTTGTTCAGTTACTTGATTGTCTATCTCTTTTACTCACATATCATAATGTTAAACCTGTAATGACCTTAAAACTGTAATAATAACCTNTCATCATGAAACATTGTCAATCACGTTCAAACGAATTTTATCTGCTTCTGTGGAATTATTATTATATTAATTCACATTTATTTCTCCGTGGGATTTTTTGAAAATTAAAGTTGTTATAGTTTGTCGCTGTATGCATGTGATAGATTCAATACTCAGTGAAGACTATAGGAAGTATGGAAAATGTACAAACTATTGAGAGTAAAACGAGTGGTTGGAGAGTAGATAGTAGAGGTAATGAATACAGTATAAAAAATAGATTGATATCTGTTTCTAGGTGTTACATATGTCACAAACCCATGGAAGGGGACACTGTACAACTATCCAAATCTTACTTCAGTGAAAAACCCACTACGGCGAGTTTGAAGAATTTCTCGAAATGCAACAAGATGGGTCTAGTGCCACGAGTTATCAACATTGGTGGAGAAAGATCTAAGATTGAACTGAAACTGAGCGAGAAAAATATTCATCAGTTCGGACTGTTTGTGAGCAAATATAAAAGGCCTCAGTATACAAATACGTTTGCTCTGCGACAACAAAAAATGGCGTGCTGATTCCTGTAGATCGCGGAAGAAGAAGAAGTTATTGATTTTGTTCCTTATGTTTTTATTGACCAAAATATACTCGTTTATATTTTGGATGATTATTTTTATTTACCTATACATTCACAAGAAACTACAATGGTATATATAGGGATTTGTTCATATAAGAAATATTCATAGATGAATATATAACTTCAGAGGGAGCTATTTCAAAAGTGGTTTAACTAATGATTTGATGATGTAAATTAATAAAACAAATAGTTCTTCGATGCTATATGGAATTTATCTGTTTAGGAAAATTGTTTACCGTCATTTGGTAATTCATTATATGCAAGTATTCCTTTGCAAAACATATATTTTCTGAAAAATGCAGATTTGAGATTTTTCGTTAGCAGGTGATCATGTCAATTTCTATGCTCTATAAATTTCATAGTGGTAGGTTTTTTATTTTTCATAACGGACTGCGGAAAGGTGCATACTTTTGATTTATAAATAGAATCGATATCAAGTGGAACGCTATTTTCATATAGATTTTCAGTTAGTTCTAAGAAAAGTAGATGAAAAATGCATTGAATAGCTTTATTATGTACAATAATGATTAAAAAGTTGAATTTGAAGCAGTTCCCCATAAAAAATTGAATACTGTAATTTTGAATGAATATGTGAGAAGTAAATTAGCTGCAGATGCTTCGAAGTAATATAGTTTCTTATATTTTTTTATGAAGATGGAGAAGTAGAAAGCCACAACCTTCCTTTCAAAAGTGTGTTGTATTTTAGTATCCGTTATAACGAATTCAAATAATGGTTCACCTCCAAAAAAGCACTTTTCCCAATTACCAGACATGCAATTGTCTTCTTGACGCGCGTTCCACCAGAAAGCTTTGATTTATCTTCTGAAGATGCAAACTTGGTTGGTGAAACGCGCGTCGTGAAGAGTATTGCATTTCTGGTGATTGGAAAATATGCTAATTTTGGATTCATTCTATACCAGAGGTTTCAGTTTGATCTTTCATTTGATATTTCTCCTGTGAGATTGATTAAAAAACCTTATTAGTGGTAAATGTAAATATTTCTTCGAGCGGTAATTACATGATTCACTGAATTTTGATTATTTTCCCAATGTATCCCCAATGAAAACGAATCTGGGAAATCAGATCGTCACAGTTGTTGTTTATACGAGTAGAAACAAACCGGTATTTTATATATAAATAATTATTCATCAGTGATTATTTGCGAGTAGAACCGAGATAAACAGTGTTGTGTGTGTAGGTGAGTGCATTTCTTTCACAATACAGATCAGTTAGCTCTGTTACGCTACCAACGCAAAGTACGGAAATCGCATTTACAAAATGCCAAAATTATGTACTTTTTAGGTACCGAAGTAAAAAATTAGGTGCTCTGTAACTTACACCGCAACTCAATACTCAAAGTTGCGTTGCTAGCATTATGTAATGCAATGAAAATAATAATGAAATAATCAATGTTGAGGAAACACTATTAGGTGCTTATTGAGTGCTAAACGGCGAGGATCGTAAAATTTTCTAATTAATAAACAAAAGCTTCCAATTTCACTAAACAACAGATCTAAGAATCAGGTCTCTTGAAGACGAGGACGAATGCTCAATCAAGTATAAACTGAGCGTGGTAATACATTGCTAATTAGGTGCTTGCAAGAAATTAGGATGAAAACGACCGTGATTAGGCGGAAAACAACTTGGGATATGCAATATGCAGTCCTGAAATGCCTGTAAACTAATTAGACAACCACAATGAAGTGCTTATTAAGTGATCCTTAGATATTCATAGTAAACCTCGATTCTATAATGCCTATGGGGTTCATGGATCTGAAAACCACCATGACTGATGTACTGAGTTTTTATAGTACGTTTCTCAATGAATAAAGGCAATAGAATAAAATGCTAATTATGTATTTATTAGATATTCATATTAAACCTAGATTGTATAATGCCTATGGAGCTCATGGACCTGAAAACCACCATAACGAATGTACTGAGTTTTTATAGTACGTTTTTCAATAAATAAGGGCAAGACAATAAAGTGCTAATTAGGTGCTCAATAGATATTTATAGCAAGCCTAGATTCCATAATTGCTATGGGGCTCATGGACCTGAAAACTGTTTTATTCGTTAGCCGAATAATGAAGACCAATATTAACATTACTTTTATAAATACAGTTTATTTTTCTGTCTTGTTTTACATCCCGCCCCCATGTTACAATCTTCCGTTCTAACTCCCATCTCTCCAGTGTTGCCAACACCGTCTAACCCTATATCACAAAATGTGTACTAATGCAACAAAAACCACCATTATTGGTGTACTGAGTTTTTATAGTACGTTTCTCAATAAATAAAAACAAGAGAATGAAGTGCTAATTAGTGCCCATTAGATAATCATAGTAAACCTAGATTCCATGATTGCTATGGGGCTCATGGACCTGAAAACCACCATGACTGATGTACTGAGTTTTTATAGTACGTTTCTCAATAAATAAGGGCAAGAGAAAAAAGTGCTAATTAGGTGCTCACTAGATATTTATAGTAAGTCTAGATTCCATAGTGCCTATGGGGCTTATGGATCTGAAAACCACTATGACTGATGGACTGAGTTCTTACAGTACGTTCCTCAATGAGAATGAAGTGCTAATTAGGTACCCAAGATTCAAAAATATTTTATATTGAATATGAATAACTAACGTTTGATTAAAGGTGATTGACAATGTTTCATGATAAATTTCATTAGTTCGGACTAAAAAAATGAATTGAAAATTAAAGAACAGGAATGAAAACGAATAGCTGAAAAAACAATTAAATTCAGCAAAAAAAACCTGAAATGAAATAATAATAGTGAAATGAAATAATATAAAAATGTTAAATTTGCGATATAATTTTTGGGAATTCAATGTCATCATATTGTTATATACTCAAATCGTTTGCTTAGCAAAATTTCGAATATTGTGGATTGCAAAAATCTTAACTGATTGAACTTTGGATAGGTGATATAGCCCTTGTATGATTTGAAGACTATAATTACATTAATATATTCAAAGTGATTCATCGATGGATATTTCTGAAAAACGTATGCAGCCTGTCAACAATTTTTACCTTTAAAAAACAACCGAACCATGTTCTGACTTGAAAATTTATTCAGGTGTTAACAATATTATCGAAATTCCGTATTTTTATCAGGTAAAAATAACTCTCTTCATATTCCAAGTATATATTGCAGCGTTGAGGCTTCGCAAACATGATTATGTATACAAATCCTGTAAATATTGGTATGAGATTTCCCAGAAAATGAGTAAATCAATTTTTCCACTGTAAACATTATTCAAATTTCGATCATATTTTGAATGAATGTTTTGGTATAACAGAATGTGTTTTACCATGTAACAAATCATCGAAAAGACGTATGTTTCGAAAATTTAGTCAAATAAATATCATAATCTAATATCATCGCATAACAAATGGTATCGATTTATTCGAAATCCGAAAGTAAATAATTATGGAAGAGAAAATATCTGAACTTTCAACGAGGTAGACCTTTTTTAAAGTTCAAATGCATTAGTCTTTTCCAATTTCGAAGCCAAATCCGGTTTAACTTAGTTTTAGAAATAAATACCTAATGAAAATAAAAAAATGCTTCCACAATCATATACCGTCTTGAAGGTACGAAGGTTCGAAATAGATGAACAATTCAATCTAGCAGACTACTATCATAATATTCATGCAGTCATTGTTAACTGTGGTTCTGGCGTTGAATTTAGTCATTATTACGCCTTGGTCAAAAAAAAAAACGGACTGGTTCAAGTTTGACGATAGTCGTGTCACTAAGTGTTCTGACGATGTATTGAATTCATTTTAGACTCTGGAGACACCCTTTGTTTTATGAGAGAGAGGACATTGGCAGATCAAGATCTTCAGATGATGTGGTGCTGCAGGTTTTTCCTGGTTTTCTTGCAGCTGAAAAAGCAAATGCGCCACTAGAATCAATGAAGTCGCCCTGAGGCGCCAATTAATTTTTATTGTTGTTTTATACTTTCACAAATAAAGTTCATATTGGAACTAGATGGGAAAAATGGATCGATCGTCTTGAGATATATCTTCAGGCAATGAACATTACCAAAGAATCAAGAAAAACAGCTATGTCACTGCATTACATTGGGGATGATGCAAATGATTTGTATCCATCCTTACCAGAGCCACCATCTTCATCTCCCGATAATGAGTACGACAAAGCAAATTTGAAATTGTCCAACTATTTCAAACCCAAAATTGATGTTGAGTTTGAAATATATAACTTCAGACAAGCTAAATAGTTACATGGAGGAACCTTGGATCAATGCTACGATCGCTTGCTGATTTTATCCAAGAACTGTAATTCTGATGACCATAAGGAAGAAATCAAGTCTCAAATTATTCTCAGTACTAATTCCATCCTCGTCGCCGAATGTAATATTCGTGTTGGAATATTTATTGAAATTGTAGAATTACTTTTCAATTTTTGTTTATTTTCAAAATTTTCTCAATTAATCAGAAAATTGACAACTCACAGTCCACTTGACATACAATCATCTTAAACAACATATACAGGATGAAACATTACAAGTACGTAACTATGAAAGAGAGACAAATCTCCAACATTTCTTCGATGTTCCAGACCATCAAGGTTGCAAGTGATGTCCGTGTCTCCAATCAGACGGATGGCTCTTTTCTGGATATGATCCAGCAGTTTCAGGGTATGCTTTGGGGTGGAGCTGCATACATGAGAACAATACTCCAAAGAAGGTCTGATCTGAGTTTTATGAAGCATTAAAAGTTGCTGAGGTGTGTATAGTTTTCTTGTTCAGAACAGCGTCTCAAGCTTTTGAGAAGCGACCTTTGCAACGCCAGCGACATGATTTTGCCGAGACATATTGGTGTCCATTTTAACATCTAACAAAATTATCGAAGCAGGAAGCGAAATTGTCTGTCCTGAGATTGTTATATCGAGTTCGGAGACATTCATCTTCTTGGAGAAAACCGATGCCTGGGTTTTGTGTCACTGAATTGAACCTGGCGACTTCCACTCCAATTCGA